TTAGATTAAATAAATTTGAATAAAATAAATTTTTGTTTTCCTTTTTATCAAATTATGATTGTCTGATGGCGTACGGGTGGACCTGCTAATACTAAAAAATTGAAATAAAATTCTCTATTCTTCAGGATTGTATAGGGTTCAGTCCCTACTAGAACTCTGGTAAGTTTCAGATGATTAAATTAAATAAATTTGAAAGAAATAAATTTTTGTGTATCTTTTTATCAAATTATGATTGTCTGATGGCGTTCGGGTGAGGGTGCTACTACTAAAAAATGGAAATAAAAATCTCTATTCTTCAGGATTGTGTAGGGTTCAGTCCCTACTAGAACTCTGATAATTTTCAGATGATTAAATTAAATAAATTTGAATAAAATAAATTTTTGTTTTCCTTTTTATCAAATTATGATTGTCTGATGGCGTACGGGTGGACCTGCTACTACTAAAAAATGGAAATAAAATTCTTTATTCTTCAGGATTGTGTAGGGTTTAGTCCCTACTAGAACTCTAGTAATTTTCAGATGATTAGATTAAATAAATTTGAATAAAATAAATTTTTGTTTTCCTTTTTATCAAATTATGATTGTCTGATGGCGTACGGGTGGACCTGCTACTACTAAAAAATTGAAATAAAATTCTCTATTCTTCAGGATTGTGTAGGGTTCAGTCCCTACTAGAACTCTGGTAAGTTTCAGATGATTAAATTAAATAAATTTGAAAGAAATAAATTTTTATTTTCGTTTTTACCAAATTATGATTGTCTGATGGCGTACGGGTGGACCTGCTACTACTAAAAAATTGAAATAAAATTCTCTATTCTTCAGGATTGTGTAGGGTTCAGTCCCTCCTAGAACTCTGGTAATTTTCAGATGATTAGATTTGTTAAATTTGGAAGAAATAAATTTTTATTTTCGTTTTTACCAATTTTGATTGTCTGATAGCGTTCGGGTGAGGGTGCTACTACTAAAAAATGGAAAAAAATTCTCTATTCTTCAGGATTGTGTAGGGTTCAGTCCCTACTAGAACTCTGGTAATTTTCAGATGATTACATTAAATAAATTTAGATGAAATAAATTTTTGTGTATCTTTTTATCAAATTATGATTGTCTGATGGCGTTCGGGTAAGGGGGCTACTACTAAAAAATTCAAATAAAATTCTCTATTCTTTAGGATTGTGTAGGGTTTAGTCCCTACTAGAACTCTGGTAAGTTTCAGATGATTAAATTAAATAAATTTGGAAGAAATAAATTTTTGTGTATCTTTTTATCAAATTATGATTGTCTGATGGCGTTCGGGTGAGGGTGCTACTACTAAAAAATTCAAATAAAATTCTCTATTCTTCAGGATTGTGTAGGGTTCAGTCCCTACTAGAACTCTGGTAAGTTTCAGATGATTAAATTAAATAAATTTGGAAGAAATAAATTTTTATTTTCGTTTTTACCAAATTATGATTGTCTGATGGCGTACTGGTGGACCTGCTACTACTAAAAAATTGAAATAAAATTCTCTATTCTCCAGGATTGTGTAGGGTTCAGTCCCTACTAGAACTCTGGTAATTTTCAGATGATTAGATTAAATAAGTTTGGATAAAATAAATTTTTGTTTTCCTTTTTATCAAATTATGACTGTCTGATGGCGTACGGGTGGACCTGCTACTACTAAAAAATTGAAATAAAATTCTCTATTCTTCAGGATTGTTTAGGGTTCAGTCCCTACTAGAACTCTGGTAAGTTTTAGATGATTAAATTAAATAAATTTGGAAGAAATAAATTTTTATTTTCGTTTTTACCAAATTTTGATTGTCTGATGGCGTACGGGTGGACCTGCTACTACTAAAAAATGGAAATAAAAATCTCTATTCTTCAGGATTGTGTAGGGTTCAGTCCCTACTAGAACTCTGGTAATTTTCAGATGATTAGATTAAATAAGTTTGGATAAAATAAATTTTTGTTTTCCTTTTTATCAAATTATGACTGTCTGATGGCGTACGGGTGGACCTGCTACTACTAAAAAATTGAAATAAAATTCGTTATTCTTCAGGATTGTGTAGAGTTTAGTCCCTACTAGAACTCTGGTATTTTTCAGATGATTAAATTAAATAAATTTGGAAGAAATAAATTTTTGTGTATCTTTTTATCAAATTATGATTGTCTGATGGCGTTCGGGTGAGGGTGCTACTACTAAAAAATGGAAATAAAAATCTCTATTCTTCAGGATTGTGTAGGGTTCAGTCCCTACTAGAACTCTGGTAATTTTCAGATGATTAAATTTAATAAATTTGGAAAAAATAAATTTTTGTGTATCTTTTTATCAAATTATGATTGTCTGATGGCGTTCGGGTGAGGGTGCTACTACTAAAAAATTCAAATAAAATTCTCTATTCTTCAGGATTGTGTAGGGTTCAGTCCCTACTAGAACTCTGGTAAGTTTCAGATGATTAAATTAAATAAATTTGGAAGAAATAAATTTTTATTTTCGTTTTTACCAAATTATGATTGTCTGATGGCGTACGGGTGGACCTGCTACTACTAAAAAATTGAAATAAAATTCGTTATTCTTCACGATTGTGTAGGGTTCAGTCCCTACTAGAACTCTGGTAATTTTCAGATGATTAAATTAAATAAATTTGGAAGAAATAAATTTTTATTTTCGTTTTTACCAATTTTGATTGTCTGATGGCGTTCGGGTGAGGGTGCTACTACTAAAAAATGGAAATAAAATTCTCTATTCTTCAGGATTGTGTAGGGTTCAGTCCCTACTAGAACTCTAGTAATTTTCAGATGATTAGATTAGATAAATTTGAATAAAATAAATTTTTGTTTTCCTTTTTATCAAATTATGATTGTCTGATGGCGTACGGGTGGACCTGCTACTACTAAAAAATGGAAATAAAAATCTCTATTCTTCAGGATTGTGTAGGGTTCAGTCCCTACTAGAACTCTGGTAATTTTCAGATGATTAGATTTGTTAAATTTGGAAGAAATAAATTTTTATTTTCCTTTTTACCAATTTTAATTGTCTGATGGCGTTCGGGTGGACCTGCTACTACTAAAAAATTGAAATAAAATTCTCTATTCTTCAGGATTGTGTAGGGTTCAGTCCCTACTAGAACTCTGGTAATTTTCAGATGATTAGATTTGTTGTTGAAAAAATTTTTTTTTTAGATATTTTTGAAAATCCTTCTGTCTGATTTTTAGTATTCATGACCGTTATACACCTACAAAATTTTATCAAAATCCGTCAAGACGTGTAAGAGAAAATTTGTCCACAAGAATCGGTGACATACACACACACACACACACACACACACATACACACATACATCCGGACATTTGTTCCTCTCGACGAATTATATATACTACACTTGAAAATTTGTAAAAATAATTGATTCTAAAAAATTCGGAAATCGACATCACTATAAGGCTTTCTTTATGAGGAAGCAAAATAAACAATAAGAAGTGTAAAAAAATTTTATTTTATTCTTCATAAATAAATGAACTTCAAAAGATTTTAATTTAAAATTTTATAAAATTTCAATTTTCAATGAATTTAATTTAAAAATTTTTAAAACTTAAATTTTTACAAAATATTGATAATTCAAATTCTTCTGGAAATTATAGTTAAATTTGTCAACTGTATTTAGTTAATTATTAAAAATAATGAATTTATAGAAGAATTTGAGTTAAAAACATTTTAAAAAATTGAATTTTAAACCAATTACAAATGATTGCAGAAATTCAATTATTTTCAAAAGTAATAAAATTCTTATCACAAACTGCAATTATGAATTTAAAAATGTTTAAAATTTACAAAAATATCTCGACAAAATAGAAAATATCAATTATTACCTTTATAAATAAAAAATTCTTCTTCAAAATTCAATTATTTTCAAAAATTTTAATAAAATTTCTGTCAAAATTTCAGTAATTTTCAAGAAATTTTCCTCTTTTCAATAATATTTTTAATATCTACTATTTCAATAAAATTACCCAAAAGAATTCAATTATTTAGAAAAAAATTTTTAAAAACTTGTACTCAAACATTTAATTACATTTTCATAAATAATAAAAATTGCACAGGATAATTCAATTATTTAAAAAAAATTTTTTATAAATTTCTTGGCAATAATTCAATTATTTTCATAAATAATAAGATTTTTACAGAAATTTAATTATTTTTCGTAAATACTAAAATTCTTTTTAGGAACTCAATTATTTTCATAAATAATGAAGCTCATCGCAGAATTTTAATTATTTTCAGTACAATTTTAATCGAATTCTTTGAAAAAATGTCATTATTTTTAAAAATTTGATTAAAATTCGTCAAAAGAATTCAATTATTTAAAAATTTATTTGGTAAAACTCTTTATAAGAATTAAATTTTAAAAAACATTTAATTATTCAATAAATTATTTATTTTTGTATTTAAAGAATTGAATTATTTTGAAAAGGCATCAAATAACCTAAATGAAGTACAAAAATAATTTAAATTGTAAATTTTAATTTGATGCAAAATGTTTTTTATTATACGACAAAGTAATTTCACTTATTCAAAAAATTCCTCTTTCATTCCACTTTTAAATTATTAAATTTACTTAATTAACTATATTAATATTTAATCTTCATATTCTTTCATTCATTCTGTTCGCAGTTTGAAATAATCTATATTCCAATTCATTTATGGAAAAAAAATTTGAATTAAAAATTTTTAAATTCTATTTCTTTTAAATAGATAATTTTATTTTGAAAAGAATATACTTAAGAAGTTAGCTGCGCGAATTGTTGCTAGTTAGAAAATATTTTCAGTACTTAAAAAAAATTGAACCCCAAATATATTATAAAAATAAAAATATTTGTATTTACCAAAATTCTCAAAGTAATTACTAAAAGATAATGATAACAGAAACCTTTAAACTTTTATACCGCATAAGTGCAATTATCAAAGATATTTAAGTCTCGACAAGTTAATTTTTCTTATTAATCTTTTAATTAAATGATAAAAAATATTGCATGTGTTTATTATTTTTTCTTCATTCATTTTACAATTTCTTGTCGTTTAAGATGAAATTTCTTGTATTCCTTATTATTATACTTCAAATTCTAAATAATTCACTGGAATTCGTACAACTAAGTAATTTTTAAATGTATAGTATTTTTTAAAAATATTTTAAATTTTTTATAAATAAATTTTTTTTTTCATTTTAGTTAATTGTCCAGCAGACATTGTACCAGTGAAAAATCAGCAACAAATTTGCGCAAGAATAACTTGTCTTTCACCTCAGAAATTCGACATAATAAGGTACAGTAATTTTTCAAAATGAAAAAAAAATTTTTTTGCATAAAAAATTCCAGTGTTTTTTTTAAATTAATAATTAATAAAATTAAATTTACAAAAAGAAAATATATATTTCCAGATGTTCGGATATAAAATGTCCGGAGGGAAAACAAATTGGTTTGAAGAATGAGGATAATTCGAAAATGTATCCTGACTGTTGTGGTGGACCTATTTGTGAAAGTTAATATTATTTTTGACAAATTTTCGACAAGGTATTTAATTTTATAAAATTAAAATTATGTCACTCTTTTAAAAATAATATAATAAATACAATTTATTTTTTTCATTAATTAATAAATGCTAAATAAATAATTCTTTTAATTAAATTAATTAACAATTTTATTTTCCTTTTTACATTAAAAATTCTAAAGTGTAAATGTAAATATTAAACACTGAAAATTATTTTACGAAGAAAAGGTTTCTATTAAAAAGTTTTTAAATCTACGTAGGTACAATTTTTATATTTCGATATAATAAATATATATAATAAAAATAAACTTTTTTGTTAAATGAAAATTATTTTTAAGTCTATGTAATTTTTTTCATATTACTATAAATAATTTTCATTCATAAATAATTTAAAATGACAATAATATAATAATTATTTCATTATATTAAATTCTTCGTTTTAGTATTATCACAAAATAGAAACAATTCTATGTAATGAAAATTCTTTCATTATTTTGATCTGAAAATAGATCTTTCTATGTTTTAATCCCTGTTATTTATTTTCTTTTTTTTTTAAAGACGATTAGAAAAATTTTTAATTAAGTCTTTGTCTTTCGTTTGGATGACATTCGTGTTACCCAGTCGATTGAGTAAAATTTACAAATTTTTTTTTTTTTAATAAAAATAAATTAAATTTATTCTTATATAAAAAAATGTTCTATATTAAAAAATGATTTTTTAAGTTAGAGAATATTAAATTAATATGGAACAGTAAAAGAAAAAAGTGAAATGAATTTAGAAAATAATTATGCAACCATCACTTATGGCGTTTAAATCGTAAGAACGTGTCCAATGTTCATTTGGGTCATTATTGTTGCCAATAGACGATTCTGTACCATTGTATGCTTCACTTGCTGGTTGATTCCATCCTCGAAAATTATCACTAACTTTACTATTTTCTCGTTCTATTTGTAATTCCTTGTTTCGCTGAACCATAAATCTACAGTTTAAGCACGCTTCGACGCTGTAAAGAATCATTGACACGAACCCGTAAATCTAGAGAGAGAAAGAAATAGAAGTTTTTAATGTAATTTTTTTTTTTTCTAAACAAAATTTTACACTATACCAAAACAATAATTATGTTTCATAAAAAATAACAGGATTGCCAAAAAAATTTAATTTTGTTTTTCCCTGACTTTTCCCTGATTTCCAGAATTTTTCCTTACTGATTTTAACTTTTTCCCTGTACCTGAAGAATATCCTGATTCACTCCAAAAATTATTAGATAATTAAAAAAAAAATGTTCTATTACATTTATTTAGAAATTTCTTCAAAAGTAAAATTATTCGAAAACATCAATAACTTCTTTTTTCAATAAATATCTCATCATTATTATTTTTCTATAGGAATTAAAAATTGAAAATGTTTATATTTAAAAAGAATTGAATTTTTGGGAAGAAGTTTATTTAAAATTTTTTTTAAAGAAATGAATTTCCGTCAAGAAGTTTATTTGTAAAAATAATTGAATTCCGGAGAAAAATATTATTATTTATGAAATTGATTAATTTCTTGTGAAGTTTATTCTAATTTTTTTAAATAATTGAATATCTCAGAATTTTTAAAATCTTTTTGAAAGTAATTGAATTCCTGTGAAAATGTTTATATTTGAAAAGAATTGAATTCTTGTGAAGAAGTTTATTTACAATTTTTTTTTAAAGAATTGAATTTCTGTCAAAAAGTTTATTTGTAAAAATAATTCAATTCTGGAAGTAAAAAAAAAAAAAATTTTTTATGAAAATAATTAATTTCTTGTAAAGTTTATTCAAATTTTTTTTAAATAATTAAATATCTCAGAATTTTTTAAATCTTTTTGAAAATAATTGAATTCTATCGAGAAATTTCAATAAAAAATTGAAAATAATTTAAATCTGATGAAGAATTTTATTAAAAAATTTTCCAAATAATTAAAGTCCTGTGAAAATGTTTATATTTGAAAAGAATTGAATTCTTGGGAAGAAGTTTTTTAAAATTTTTTTTAAAGAATTGAATTTCTGTCAAAAAGCTTATTTGTAAAAATAATTGAATTACGGAAATAAAAAAATAATATTATTTATGAAAATATTTAATTTCTTGTGAAGTTTATTCAAATTTTTTTAAATAATTGAATATCTCAGAATTTTTAAAATCTTTTTGAAAATAATTGAATTCCATCGAGAAATTTCATTAAAAAATTGAAAATAATTGAAATCTGAAAAAGAATTTTATTAAAATTTTTTATAAATAATTAAATTCCTGTGAAAATGTTTATTTTCGAAAAGAATTGAATTCTTGGAATGAATTTTATTAAAATTTCTTAAATACTTGAATTGTTTCGAAGAATTTTATTTTTTACAAAAATAATTGTATTCTATGATCAATTTTATTCTAATTTTTTCAAATTTTAAACGTATTTTATCAAAATTTTTTTAAAATAATTGAATTCTCGAGAAAAATTTTATTATTTATGAAAATAATTTATTTCTTCCGAAGAATTTTATACAAATTTTTTTAAATATAATTGAATTCCTATAAAAAATTTATATATTTGTGAAAATAATTGAATTCTTAAGAAGAAATGTATTGAAAATAATTGAATTCTTAAGAAGAAATGTATTGAAAATAATTGAATTGTATAGGAAAATTTTATTAAAATTGCAAATTTATTAACTATGTCTTGTAAAGAATTTTGTCAACATTTTTTTTTAATAATAGAATTTTCAAAAGAATTTTATTTAAATGTTTGAAAATAATTGAATTTCTCAGAACTATTTTTATCAATTCTCTATACATATTTGAATTCTTTCGAGAAACTTTATTTAAAAAATTAAAAATAATTGAAATGGTGCGAAGAAATTTATAAAAAAATTGGTAAATAATTGAATTCCTGTGAAATTTTATTAAAATTTTCTTTAAATAATTGAATTCTTTTGGAGAATTTTATTAAAAATAATTGAAATGAGAAAAATTTTTGAAAATAATTGAAATTTTGCCAAAAATTTTATTAAATTTTTTACGAAAATAATTGAATTTCGAAAAAGAATTTTATTTATTTCTATAAATTGAAATTTTGACGAGAATTTAAAAAAATTTTTGAAAATTGAATTTACGCGAAAAAGTTTATCACTTTTGGAAATAATAGAATTTCTGTAATCCTCTATTCTTAGGTACATCTCTATATGAATTCTAAAACTAGAATATTTAAATTTTATCACGTACTGGTGCTTTGTTGTAATCACTTTTAAAAATTCCATTGCCATTGACCAGGAAACAAGAAGCTGCTAAAAAAGCACAAGCCCACAATATACAGAACACATATTCCTGAAACAAATTTTCTTTAAAAAAATGAAATTTTAAATCTAATTGCACTCACACTCTTATTTTTGTTTACACAAAATTTTTTTCCACTCTCACTCACTAGTCAAAGTGAAAAGAAATATGTGTTTGAAAATGTAATTACGTGAATGCACTCAAGAATAAAATAATTAAAAAAAAAAAAAAAAAAGAATAAAAATTACTTACAAATGGAAGAACTGTTATACATGGTTTTTTGCATGCACCACAAGCATATAGTGCCAACAAGCAACCGGTAATTGTAAGTCCAAGGGATGACACTAAACTGAAACATATTCCAGGTGTTGTATTGGCAAAAGGCGATTCTCTCACTGTTATAAAACTAATAAGATTGAACACCTGTAAGAAAAATAAAAACTGTTATCAAAAATAATTTTTCTTTCACAAAAAAGTTTTTTTTTTCTTTCTTTTTTTTTTATTTAAAATTATTCGTTTTTTAAAGATACACATATATGTATATTATCTTTATATAGAAAAAAAATATTTATAAAATAACATTCTCAATAATAAGATACGTACAAATTATTTGAGTTGAAAAACCCAAAAATTAAACTTTCCCTTTGTGTTAAATATCTAGAATTTATTTTCAAACAAAAAGTCTTTTCATCTCCCTTTTTTCCATACAAAACATGCGATTAATATTTTTTGTTCACCCTCAATTCTTATATTCTTAATGTAATTGTGTCATTTTTCCCTATTTTCGATATTTTCTATGTACATACAAAATTGAATGAAGTCAAAACTATTTTTCTACAAAATCTTAATATTTTCTATTAACTTTATGAAATTTTATATTTTGAAATTAATATTTTTTTTATCAAGAAATTAAAAATGTGGAATTTTTTTTTAACAATGTAGCAAAATTCTTTAATAGGACAATATTTTTAAAAACTGTAAACAACTTCACTACATCAAAATTATTTTCATAAAATAAAAAAAATGAATTATTTAAAAGAATTTTTATAAAATTCTTCTCTCGAATTCAGTTATTTTCATAAATAATAAAATAATAATAAAAACTATTTCAAATACTTTATAAAAAAATACTTATAAAATAACATTCTGTATAATAAGTTATGTATATATACATATATACCAATTTTTGAAATGAGAAAAACATTAAATGAAAATTTTCCTTTGTGACAAATAACTATAAAAGAATTCATTTTCAAACAAAAGTTATCATTTCCTTCGTCTTTTTTTCGATACAAAACATTCGATTAATATTCTTTCTTCACCCTCGATTCTTAGAATCTTAATGTAATTACTTAATTTTATCTTATTTTCGACATTTTCTATTTATGTACACATTGAAGCAAGTCAAAACTATTTTTCGACAAAATATTTATATTTTCTATTAGCTATATATAAACTTTCATAAATAATAAAATTTAAAAAAAATTCAATTATTTAAAATTTTTATAAAAGAAAAAAAATCAATTGTTTAAATGAATTATTATAAAATTCTTCGCGTGAATTTAATTATTTTCAAAAATTTTATTACAATACGTCGGAATAATTCAATTTTTAAAAAAAAATTTTTTGAGTACATTCTTTATATAAAATTAATTTTCAGAAATATTGAATTATTTACTAAATCAAAATTCTTCGCAAAAATTCAATTATGTAAATAATACAATTCTTCTCAGGAATTAAATTATTTTAAAAAATTTCAATAATATTTATTACAAGATTTCAATTATTTTTAATACAATTTTAAATGAATTCCTTTGAAAAATGCAATTGTTCTTAGAAAGTTTAGTCAAATTCTTCGAAAGAATTCAATTATTTTGAAAAATTTTAATATAATTTGTTTATTAGAATTTAATAATTATATAAATAAAATTCTTCTTTAAATCAAATCATCTTCAATAATTTTTGAAAAAGTTCTTTGAGAATTTTCAAATCCATTTATTTACAATTTAATTTTACGAAATTTCAATTATTCAAAAATTCATTAATTGAATACGTATTAAAAAATAAATACTTCAAATAATTTCAGAAAAAAATTCAACTAAACTTTTTCAAAAACATTAATTCTACAGAATTATTGGTTATAAGTATGAAAAATTAAGATTTTCAAAGAATTTAATTTAAAATTCATACTATCATGATTTTAATATTAAAATATTATTTGAATATTCGAAAAATTTGAAAAATAAATATTGAAATCTAAAATTTTAACTGAAATTTATTTTTAAATCATTTTTTATTAGAAAATTCTACGACAATTCAATTATTTAAATGAAAAAATAAATAATTTATTGAATAATTAAATATTTCTTCAAGTTGAATTCTCATAAAGAATTTTATCAAAACATTTTTAAAAAATTTAATTCTTTTGACGAATTTTAAAATTACATTTTTCGAGGAATTCAATTAAAATTGTACCTATTAAAAATACCTGAAATTCAGTGATAAATTTTATTAATGAAAATAATTGAATTCCTAAAAAGAATTTTATATATTTATGAAAATAATTTAATTCCTGTAAAAAATTTTATTATTTATTGCAAATAATTAAATTATTGCGATGAAATTTATAAAAAAAATAACTTGTAAATAATAGAATTCATATGAAATTGAGGAAAATTTTTTGGTAATCATTCAAATTTTGACAAAAAATTTTATTAAAAATTTTTAAAAAATTGAATTTTGACAAGAATTTTATTAAAAATTTTTAAAAAATTGAATTTTGACAAGAATTTTATTAAAAATTTTTAAAAAATTGAATTTTGACAAGAATTTTATTAAAAATTTTTAAAATAATTGATTTTTGGGAAAAGAATTTGATTACTTTTGAAAATAATTGAATTTATGCAATCATTTATAATTTTTCGAAAATTCAATTTTTTTTTAGTGTTTTTGAGTCAAATTCGTCTATAAATCCACTATTTTTAATAATTAATTAAATATATATTAAAAAATTTAACAAATTTCAGAAGAATTTGAATTACATAAAATTTTAAAAACCTAAGTAATCTATAAAATTCATTAAAAATTTTATAAAATTTAAAAAAAAAAATTTTTCTAGCTAGTAATAGTAATAGTAATATGTAATAATAATAATAATAACAATAATAATAATTAATAAGTAATAATGATGATGATGATGATGATGATGATGATGATGATGATGAAAAAAGGAATAATTTTAATAACGAAATGTGTTAAATTTAGAGATGAAAAAAAGAATTCGCATAGGTATTAAATATTTAGAAACTGAAAAAAGTGTTTTGTGCGTATAATTTCTATTATTTATTAAACATTACCATTTCTGCAATTTTTACAATTATCACTCCACTATTAACTTGTGACATATGTATTTTATGTTTTAGACTATCATTTTCACATCTCTCTTGTCTTGAGATAGAATCAACGACTGTTAATTCCAATTGATGATTTGTTGTATTCAAAGAGGATGTTTCTTCAGAAATTGTTGTTTGATAAGCAGGCAATTCTGACAATTGTCTTGTTTCTGATGTTGCTGGTTCACTACTAACATCCTTAAATTCTATAGCCATTTTCCTTATTGTTTTTTTTTATACCTATATTAAAATAATATTTTTAATTTTCTATACACAACAATTAAAAAATAATCAACGTGACAATTTTTTGTTTTCATTTTCATTCAATTGCGTAAAGAAAAAGTTTGATACAATTTTACATATATATATATATATTATTTTGATGAATTATTTAAATAATTATTAATATTTAAATTTAAAATTACAAATATGAAGAATAAAAAGTAAAAATAACATTACCTTTACAATTTTTAACAATATTATAAAATCTCCCTTAATTTCAATTTTCACTACTTTAAAAAAAAAAAAAAATTCACAATTATAAACGAACAGCTGTTGTAAAAAAAAACATTTTCTCCAAAAAAGAAAACTTATACAAAATAAAAATAAACTTTGTATAATAAATTGTGTATTTTAACGTTTTATTAAAAATTAATTTATATACTCTAAAACATTGAAAAACGATAATTTAAATTTTGCACATGTTTCTGTTTATTTTTTTTTTTTTATAAGAAGTATTATAATTATGGAAGACAATAAATATTAACACGTAGAGCTTTAGTGAGATTGAAAATGTAACTGAAAGGGAAACGACGCCCTCGCAACTTCCTTTTAATATTTTCTCTTCATTCATTCAATGGAAGTAAAAAGAGAAAAGAAGATTCAACCATAAAAGTTACTAGAATGATAAAACGGGACCCTAAAACTTCACCCCCTTTTACACAATCCCCTCAAGAAAAATCGATATACAATACAAGCATAAACTATGTAGAAAACATAGTTATTCTGTAACATTTAATTTTTCTCTCTCCTTATTGGAGAAATTTAATGTTAAAAAAAAAATTTTTTTTAAACACTACAAAAAAATTTAATTATAGTTAACAATATAATTTATTATTTTCTATTACAAATGTACATTTTTTTTTATTATTACATTCATATAAATATTACTGTTAAAATTTTAAATGTTCAAAAATTAAAAATTTTTTAAAAACATTTAAAAATTTTAAATAAAGAAAAAAATTTTAAATAGTTTTTAAAAATTTTCCACTTTTATAGTGAATGAACTACATTTTCTTTAGTAATAAATTTGTAATATTAAGTTTGTGTAAAAATTTTTATAATTGTTAGAATTTCGTGTTTAGTTTCAATAATCTTATACACGCTAATTTTCATACATAGTAGAAGTAAATTGAAAAATTTTACAAATATCGTGGAAGCTTTTTTTTCAAAAAAAAAATATGATTAACATTATTATTCTTGGTATCATTTAGTGGCAGTACTTTATGCTTACTTATTATAATTATTCTTGTTATTTTATAACAATATGGACGGATATCTTATCACGATAATAATAAAAAATAAAAATTATAAATTGTAAAAATATTAAAATTTACTGTAAGTTTCAATAAAAGATGATAAAAAAAAATTTAGAGAAGAAAAATAAAACAAAACAAAAAATAAAGGACGTAAAAATATTAAAATTATTTTCTAATATCTAATTTATATTATACAATAAAAAATACTTTGAGCATTTTTTTTAAATAATCAGACAAGCGGTGCTTATGTTTTTTTCAAATTGGCCCTAATCAGGGTTGCCACAATAATAATAATAACACTAATACATTTATTTGCGAATTTCTTTAATTGTAAAACAATTCGAAAATACCAATAACTTTTTATTTAAATAAATATTTAGTTATTATTAATTTTACCGCATAGGAATTAAGCTTTTTGAAAATTTCAAATTAAAATTTTTTTGAAATTTAAAAACTTTATAAAAATATTTTTTTTACTGCAACTATTCTTTAAAATTATTTTCATTATTTCAATTCAATTATTATTTTCTAGAATTTTAAACTAAAATTCTTCTTCAAATCAATTATTTTTAATAATATTTCACCATAAGTTCCTTGAGAATTATTTTCAAATCCTAGAATTAAATTTTACGAAATTTCCATTATTCGAAAATTCTTTAGTTGAATGATTCTCAAAAGATTTTAATTTAAAAACTTTTTAAACTGAAATTAATTTTTAAATCAATTTTAATTAGAAAATTACACGAGAATCAAAATTTTAAAATAATTTTAAAAAATATTGATTAAGCTTTTTGAAGAAAATTAGTTCCATAGAATTTTTAATTGAAAGTATAAAAATTTCAGATTTTTAAAGATTCTAATTTAAAACCTTTACAAAATTCATTTATTTTAAAAAATTACAATTATTCGTAAATTCTCAAAAAATTCAATTAATTATCTAAAACTGCGACTGAAATTAATTTTTAAATTAATTTTTTTTTAGAAAATTCTACAAGAATTCAATTATTTAAGGGCATTTGAACCATTATGACGTCATAGGTTCTGCAAAGCATGTGTTTTAAGGCTGTGACGTCATCATGGTTCAAATGCCCTTAAATACAAAAATAAATAACTTATTGAATAAATAAATTTTTCTCAAAATTAAATTCTTATAAAGAATTTTATCAACAAATTTTTAAATAATTGAATTCTTTCGATGAATTTTATTATAGAATTTTTTAAAATAATTGAATTTTATTATTATTTTAATTTTTAATTATTTTCAAAATAATTGAATTCTTGTGATAAATATTAATTATTTATGAGAAAAAATTGAATTCTTTCGATGAATTTGAGTAAATTTTTTTTTAAATAATTTCAGTTTTCGAGGAATTTAATTAAACTTGTGGGTACTAAAAAAAAATTAAAATTCTGCGATGAGTTTCATTATTTAAAAAAATAATTGAATTCTAAAAAATAGTTTTATTATTTTTAAAAATAATTGAATCCTTGCAAAGAACTTTATTAAATTCTTTTTAAATAATTGAATTAATGCGCATAATTTTATAAAAAATTTTTAAAGAATTGATTTTTTCGAAAAAACGTGTGACAATTCTTTTTTAAATAATTGAATTTCCTAAATGAAATTTTTGAAATTTATGAAAATAAGGTAAAAGTACCAATTATGGGACGCTGTTTAAGCTAAACTAAATTTCTATGATAAATTTCTTGGAATCGGGAGTGTTAATATGAATAATTAGGGTATAGATTGAAAGATTGCTATGTTATGAATAATATTTAGACCCTAAAATGGTTATTTTTCATGAAATAAAAATAATATTAATTAAATTATGAAACTCTGCACTGCACTAATTATGGGACTATAATTTCTGTATGTACGGGTGTCCCATAATGAATGTTCCTATTATGAGACATTTATTTAATTCAATAAGTAATTAGAATTCTATTGACTTATCCTAATAATTTGAATATTAATTATAAAGAATAAAATACAATAAACAAATTCTGGTTTAAAAAATAATTATAAAACTAATTTTTCTGGTAGAAAATTAATGCGAAACAACTGAAAATATTTGAGGTTATGTTTGCTGTATATTTCCTGTGTGTCTCATAATAGGGATAGCAAATAATAAGTGCACCTAATGTGGGACGGTAGTCTGACGAAAAACTTGGCTTACCTTAATTTAAAAGCTAAAATGCAAATAAACATTTCTTATTAAATTAAATGCTATACACAAATAATTATTCTTTTAACGTGTAAAATTTTTTGAAATAAGTAGAAATTTCTTATGACCAATTTTAATTGCATTTATTTTATTTTTTGTAATACTGTCTCATAATAGGGACAAAATTGTAAATTGTCCCATAATTGGGACCTTTACCTTAATTGAATGTTTGCGTAGAATTTTAGTAAATTTTTTTTTTTTTAAATAATTGTATTCTTATGGAAAATTTTATAAAAATAGTTGATATTGAAAGTCATTAAATTGAGAAAAATTTTTGATAATAATTGAAATTATGCTAAATAGTTTTTTTTTTTTTTTTAATTGAATTTTTATGATGAATTCTTGAAGAATTAAATTATTTAAAATGAATTATTATTGAAAAAAAAATTGAAGGTTTTGTATATTAGTATTTGTGTTAATTTCATATATATATATATATATATATTTATATATATATATATATATATATATATATATATATAATTTATAAGACAAAAAAAAAGAAACAAAAATTTAGAATTTTCTTCGGAATTCTAAAAATTTAATCTTTTCCAGTACTTTTAATAAAATTCCTTGACTTTCTTCCTGAATTTCCTGATCTGTGGCAACCCCGCTAATATATTATATTGATAAATATATTTAATAATTATCACATAGGAAGTTTTCAGCAATAAAATTTCCAAAGGAAATCAAGTGCATAAATCGTCATACCGGAATATGTATATATCTGAAATGAAAATATTCTTTATTACAATTTTTGTTTCAAGTAATTTTGAAATAATTATGAATCATTTTTTTTTATTTTTTATTTTATGTGGTGTAAAATAGTTTACCGAATTTCCATAAAAGGGAAATGTATAAGCAGCTATTGCACAGCCTGTTGCGCTGAATGCACAAAAAATGCAGTCCTGAAATCATATTTATTGTTTTTTTTTTTTTTTTTTTTTTTTTTTTTTTTTTAATTTAATGTTATAGAAAAAAATATTTACCATTATGCGAATATTGCGAGATTTATTGGTATCACACCAGTAATATACCAAAAAGCATGTTGAAATTATTCCAATAAATTCAAAAAATAGTACAAATAAACGTCGATTAAATGGATGTTTTGAATCAGTTAAATTGACAAAAACTGTAACGCTCAATGCCTGTAATATTAAAAGCATATTATTTACCATTTAATTCATCTAAATTATGTCTTTTATAATTTTTAATAGTTTTTCTTTTAAATTTCCATCAATGATTTGTAATAATATCAGGGTTGCGACGAAAATTTTATTTTTCCCTTACTTTTCCCTGATTTCCAGATAAAATTTTCACTTTTTCCCTCACCCTAAGGAATAATTTTGATTCACTCTAAAAATTATTATTCTCATCATTTCAATTCAATGATTATTTTCTACAATATTTAAATCAAATTCTTCTATAAATCAATTATTTTTAATAACTACTTTTTAATAATTTTTGTAAAAGATCTCCTTGAGAATTTTCAAATCCATTTCTTTACAATTCAATTTTACGTGAAGTATCGATTATTTGGAAATTCTTCAATTAAATAAACATTAGAAAATAAAAACTTGAAATAATTTTAAAAACTATTGATTAAGCTTTTTGAAAAAAATAAGTTCCATAGAATTTTTAATGAAAAGTATGAAAAATTGAAATTTTCAAAGATTTTAATTTATAAAACCTTTAGAAAATTCATTTATTTCGAAAAATTGCAATTATTCGTAAATTCTCCAAAAATTCAATTATTATCTAAAACTTTGACTGAAATTAATTTTTGAAATAATTTTTATTAGAAAATTCTACGGGAATTCAATTATTTAAATACAAACATAGATAATTTATTGAATAATTGAATGTTTCTTAAATTTGAATTCTTATACATAATTTAATCAACAAATTTTTAAATTACTGAAATCTTTCGATGAATATTAATAAAATTTTTAAGAATAATATTACATTTTTCGAGGAATTCGAATTAAAAATTTATCAAAAAATAATTGAAAATCTGTAATGAGTTTTATTATTTAAGAAACTAATTGAATTATTGCGAAGAATTTTATAAAAAAAAGTTTCAAACAATTGATTTTTTTCGAAAAAATTTATGCAAATTCTATTTTTAATAATTAAATTCATGTGAAACTTTTATTTTTTTTAAAATAATTGAATATTCATGTAGAATTTTATAAAAATTGTTTGTTTAATAATTGAATTCTTTTTGAAATTTTTTTAAAATAGTAGAATATTGTAAATCTTTGAATTAAGAAAAAATTTTGACATGGTATTTTATTAAAATTTTTGAATATAAATAAAATTTTGACTTGAATTTTATTATTATTTTATTTTTCAATTATTTTCAAAATAATTAAATTCTTGTGATAAATAATATAATTTATAAAAAAAAAAATTGAATTTTGCAAAATGATTTTTATTCAAATTCCTGAAAATAATTTAATTTTGTCGAAAAATTTTTCTATTAATTTATAAAAATAATTGAAATGTTGACGACAATTTTTTTGTAGATTTTTTAAAAATAATTAAATTTCTGCGAAGAATTTTGTTAATTTTGAAAATAATTCAATTATTGCGAAGAATTTTTTAAAAACGTTTTTAACAATTGAGTTTTTTCGAAAAAATGTATGCAAATTCTATTTCTAATAATATTGAATTCCTGTGAAATTTTTTTTGTTTAAAAAATAATTGAATATTCATGTAGAATTTTATCAAAATGTTTGTTTAATAATTGAATTCTATTGGAAAATTTTATTCAAATAGTAGAATATTAAAAATCATTGAATTAAGAAAAATTTTTGATAATAAATAAATATGAATTTTACTAAAATTTTTGAAAATAATTGAATTTTATTACTTTTGAAAATAATCGAATTCTTGTGATGACTACTATTATTTATGAAAATAATTGAATTTTGCAATGATTTTTATTAAAATTCCTGAAAATTATTATACTTCGTCGAAGAATTTTACTATTAATTTTTAAAAATAATTGAAATGTTGACGACAATTTTTTTTTTAGATTCTTTGAAAATAATTGAATTTTTGCGAAGAATTTTATTAATTTTGAAGATAATTGAATTCTTCTGATGAATCAAGTTATTTTTGAAAATAATTGAATTTTTTAATGAGTTTTATAAAAATTCCAAAATAAAACTTAATTTCAGCGAAGACTGTTGTTAGGTATATTTATAATGAGAATTGAAATTTTGATGAGAATTTTTTTTTAATTTTTGAAAATAATTGAATTTTTGAAAAGAATTTTGATATTTTTTAAAAGAATTGAATTCTTTCAAAGAATTGCGTTAAAATTTTTATAATTGAAACTAATTTCAATAGAATTGAAATTAAAATTTTTCAAAAAAATATTTTTTTTAATTGATTTATAAGTATAATAACTTCAATCAGTGTCAGTTCTTCAATAGAATTAAGTTATTGAAAATAAATTATTGTCAGTTTTATTATTAATGAAAATAATTAAATTCCAAAAAAGAATTTTGTTATTTATGAAAATAATTGAATTATTGCGTAGAATTTTATGAGAAATTTTGAAATAATTGACATTTTTTCCAAAAAATGTGTGCCAATTCTATTTTAAATAATTGAATTTCCTACATGAAATTTTTCGAATTTATGAAAATATAATTAAATGTTTGTGTAGAATTTTATTAAAAAAAAATTTTTTTTAAATAATTGAATTCTTTAGGAAAATTTTATAAAAATAAGTTGATATTAAAAGTCGTTAAACTTGAGAAAATTTTTTGAAAATAATTGTAATTATGCTAAATAGTTTTATTAATTTTGAGAATAATTGAATTTTTATGATGAATTCTTGAATTATTAATTCAGAAATTATTAAATTCAGAATTTTTTTATAAAAATTTTAAACATTTAATTTTTTCCCAGTACTTTTAATAAAAGTCCCTGACTTTTCCCTGATTTTCCTGACCAATTCTATTTTCCCAGACTTTTCTCTGAATTTTTTTTTTATTAACCCTGACACCTGTGGCAACCCTGAATATATAAATACATACCACTTCAAAAAATTTCATTCCAATTGTCACAATATTTTGCCGCCATTGAAATTCATTTTGCGTAAGTCCATGATTTTTAATTTTCTCATCGTTTCGTATTTTATTAATTGTTCTTATTTCGGTTAAAATTTCATTCTTCTCTGAATTTGTGAGTCTGGATTCAACATTATGTAACAATTCAATAACCTCATCTTCAGCGAGAGAAAAATTTTTCTTTTCCTCTTGTGATTTCCATAAAACATTATCACGCATTTTTGATAAGGCACTCAAAATACAACTTCTTTCATTTTCAGTTAAACCTGTTTTGTATTCAATTTCATCAATTGAAGGTGCTGAGGGTATTTCTGGATATAATCGTTTTGTTAATAGTAAATTAATATCATTTCCGTCATCACCATCGTCATCATCATCATCATCATCATCATTATGTATTAATTTTGTAGCATACGGTGGTGGTTCTATATTATTTTCTTCAATATTCTCATATTTATCAGGTGAATTCGATGAATAAGGAGGTGGATTTTGATCAAATGGCAAATTTAAAAGATACGGTGGTGGCTTTGTCTCTGATTCGGAATTTATTTCATCCGGTAAATAAGAAGAACGAAAACCTATTCCTCTGGTGTCATTTAATTTATTAATATCCGTATCTGCCATTATTTTATTCTATTTGTATATTTTCTTTTCTGAAAAATATAAATTAATCATACGTTAAAAAAAAAAAAAAAAAAAAAAAAAAAAAAAAATATCATTATAACAAAAATTAAGACGATATTTTCTCTAAAAAAAAAAAAACTCACCGGTAAGAAGTGTGCAATTTTTAATCAATGAATTTCTCTCATTAAAATACAAGCATGTGCAGAATTTTTATTTCTAATTTTAAAATTTATATTTACCTGTCTTTATATAGTAAGAAATTTAATTATAATAATTAACAAAACTTGATTTTCAAATGTCGACAATTATTTACATAAATGATTGAATAATTTAAAAGGGTAGAAAATTACTGAGAATTAAAAATTTAAAGGATGGAAAATAAGTCGACTATCGCTGTTCACAGTGAGAGAAATATTTTACTGCGAGGAAGTAAATCGATAAACTCCCATATCAATTGTTGGAAAACTAGAAAATTAATATTCACAAAAGAATAATTTTCAAGAATATATTATAGAGAATTTTTTAATATTTATAATTAACTTAGTTTAAAATTCTCTTTTATATAGAATATTAAAATGTGAAACACAATGTTTTGATATTCTAAGCGAGAAACTAGAACAAAAGTATATATACCTATTGATCTTCTTCCAACTTTCATGCAATTATTTTATCTGATAATTTTTTTTCGCCCTTTATTTAGGTTTTCAAAAATTTTAATAATTCAAATTCTTCTGAAATTTATTAAATTTTTTAATAACATATTTTATTAATTATTAAAAGTAATGAATTTATAGTACGAATATTACTCAAAAACACTGAAAAAAAAATTTGAATTTTGGAAAAATTATAAATGATTGCATAAATTCAATTATTTTCAAAAGTAATAAAATTCTTCTCCAAAATTCAATTATTTAAAAAATTTTTAATAAAATTCTTGGCAAAATTCAATTTTTTTTAAATTTCTAATAAAATTTTTGGCAAAATTTCAATTATTTATTTTCCTCAATTTTCCTCAATTTCATATAAATTCAATTATTAACAAATTTTGTATAAATTTCTTCGCAATAATTTAATTATTTTCAATAAATAATCAAATATTTTGCAGTGATTGAATTCTTTTTATAAATATAATAAAATTCTTTTTAGGAATTCAATTATTTTCATAAATAAAACTCAACGTAGAATTTCAATTATTTTTAATACAATTTTAATCGAATTCCTTTCAAACGTTTCAATTATTTTTCAAAAATTTTCAAAATTCAATTATTTTCAATGCATAGTATTTTAATAAAAAAAATTTCCAAAAGAATTCAATTATTTAAAAAAAAATTGTTTTATAAAATTATTTACACACATTCAATTATTTTCATAAATTGTAATAAAACTTTTCTCAGGAATTCAATTATATTAAAAATTTTTTTTTAAATTCTTCCCAAGAATACAATGATTTAAAAACAAAATTAATATATTAGTTCTTCGCAAGCATTCAATTATTTTTAAAAATAAATAAAAAATAAAATTATTTTTAAAAATTCAATTATTTTCATAAAATAATAAAACTCATGGCAGAATTTCAATTATTTTTATTACAATTTTAATTGAATTCCTCGAAAAATGCAATTATTCTTAAGAAAAATTTATTAAGATAGAAAGAATTCAATTTTTAAAAAAAATTTGTTGATTAAATTTCTTTAAAAATTCAATTTTGAGAAACATTGAATTCTTTACTAAATCAAAATTCTTCGGAAGAATTCAATTAAAAAATTGTTTTAATACTATTTGCAAACATTCAATTATTTTCAAAAATAATAAAAATTTCATATGAAATTCAATTATTTAAAAAAGAATTGTCAGAAGTTTTTTCGAAAAAATCAATTCTTTAAAAATTGCTTATAAAATTATGAGCATTAATTCAATTATTTTCATAAATAATAAAACTCAACGCAGAATTTCAATTATTTTTAATACAATTTTAATCGAATTCCTCGAAAAATGTAATTATACTTAAAAATTTTATTAAAATTCGTCAAAAGAATTCAATTCTTTAAAAATTTGTTGATAAAATGAGAATGAGAATGTTTATGAGAATTAAATTTTAAGAAATATTTATTTATTCAATAAATTATTTATTTTTCCATTTAAGTAATTGAATTCTATAGTAGAATTTTCCAATAAAAAATGATTTAAAAATGAATTTCAGTAAAAATTTTTAAATTAAATATTTATTATTTAAATTATTCAAATATTTAAATAATATTTGAATATTAAAATCATTATGGCATGAATTTTAAGAAATAATTGAATTTTAAAAAGATTTCAAATTAAATTCTTTGAAAATTTTAATTTTTCATATTTATAATCAATAATTTTGTAGAATTAATTATTTTGAAAAAGTTTAGATGAATTTTTTGAAGTGTTAATTTTTTAATACGTATTCAATTAAAGAATTTTTGAATAATTGAAATTACGTAAAATTGAATTGTAAACAAATGGATTTGAAAATTCTCAAAGAACTTATTAAAAAATTATTAAAGATAATTGATTTTGTTAGGATGTGCGAGTGAGTGTAGACGAATTTTATCGAAAGAAAGTATTTATTAAATGTATATTGAGATTAACAAATTACAAGGAATGTAGTTAAACACGAGGTGAATGAATAAACTGATCGGAAGATTCTCAATGTGTGAGTGTTTTAAGTGAAAAGTAAAAGAAAGGCGATTAAAGCGCCACACTGAATCTGAATATTAAAGTTCTGAGTAAAAATGTCGTAAGAGCGCGAATTACAATTCCCAACACTCTCCCTTAAGATGCACTCTGGAGCAATTTTCTTGACGATAATCCAAATCCAGATATGCACTCCATGTGTCTTGGTCCGGGTAAGCTTTTTGTGAGCACATCGGCAATCATTTGTTCTGTAGGAAGGTAGTGCAATTCGATGGGTTTTTCCTTCAGCGCTTGTCGTATAAAGTGATGTCTCACGTCTATGTGTTTGGAACGTGAGTGGTGAACAGGATTCTCCGCAAGCTTTCCAGCTCCCTGGTTGTCGTTATAGATGGTTACACGAGCAATATCAGGAAATCCCAAATCATTGAGGAAGCTGATGAGATGCATGGCTTCCTTTGTCGCGTCGCTGATCGCCATGTATTCCGCCTCGGTGGATGAGAGCGCAACAGTGCGCTGTTTGCGAGATTCCCAGGACACGGCGGCTCCGTTGAAGACGAAGGTAGAACCTGTAAATGAACGTCTGTCGAGGTTGCAATTTGCCCAATCGGCATCCACGTAGCAGGTCAGATGATCATCATTCCCTTCGAATTTTAGAGCTAAATCGATTGTTCCCTGGAGATAGCGTAGCACGCGTTTTGCCGCTGTCCAGTGTTCCCTTCTCGGGTTGCTGCTGTACTGAGCGAGTACGCTGACGGTGTGCATGATATCCGGCCGAGTTCCCAAGGCTGCATACATTAGAGCTCCAACTAGCTCTCGAAATGGAAACGTCTGTGATTCTGCGTCGTCGTTGGCATCGTTGACGAATTTTGCGCCTACTGTGAGTGGTGTGCTGACCGGCTTGCAGTCACTCATCCCGAATCTCTTCAAGATCTCTCTTATATACCCAGCTTGAGATAGGGTGATGTTCTTTTGATTACGTTGCACTTCCAGGCCTAAAAAGTATCGAGCTTCGCCGAGATCTTTTACCTTGAATTCTTCAGAGAGTTTTTGTATTATTTTTCTCTCCCTGGTTCGATCGTTCGAAAATAGCAAGATATCGTCGACGTAGACGACGAGAAAAGTCAGAGTGTCTTTATCGACGTACACGCACGGATCCGAAGAAGTTGGCACAAAACCGATGTTCCGGAGAATGGCGTCCAGCTTCGTATACCACTGACGTCCTGCTTGTCGAAGACCGTAAATAGCCCTGTTGAGTTTGCACACTTTCGGTGATTCATCCAATTTGTTGAGAAAGACTTGGGCTGTCTTTGAAATTTCTGGATTCGAGTTTTCCGCGGTCATCCTCTTCAGCATTTTCTCGAGTAAATCCGGCTGTTCCATGTAGACTGTGGCATCGATGGCACCGTTCAGATAGGCAGTTTCAATGTCCAATTGGCTGATTCTCAAGTTGAATTTTGCTGCTAACGCGATCAGTAATCTCAACGATCCCAGGCGAGCTACTGGAGCGAAGGTCTCGAAGAAGTGAATGCCAGGTTGTTGTGCAAAGCCTTTCGCTACAACTCGAGCTTTCCTCCTCTCTACGTTTCCATCCGATCCAAGCTTATTTCGCAGCACAGTTCGACATTTTATGATCTTTTCGTTTGTTGGTCGATCAACCAAGTCGAAAGTTTTGTTTGAGATCAGACTCTTAATTTCTTGGTATATTGAATCCTCCCACTCCTGGCTATCTGGACCTGACAGAGCGTCTTGTATCGAAATTTCACAGGCAGTCATGGCGTCGTTGTCCGAGTCCCAACCGTGAAATTCTTCGTCGCTTGATTCGTTGCTGACGTCAGGTTCACGGGGTTCCGGTGATTCGGGGCGATCATCTTCACGCCGAGTGTGATATCCTTTTGTAGGTCTTCCAGGTTTGCCGGTTCTGATAATTTTTGGTCGTCCACGTCCTCGTTTTGCGATGTTTTCAGCTCGAGGAATGAATTGTTCGATTGGCTCCGCGTTGACGGGATCATTGTTGATTTGAAGATCGACATCCGAATTCGCCTTTTGATTATTGAGAAATTCTATTTCCGGTATGGATGTTGAATCCTCTTGAACACTGATCGTTGAGAACTCGTCCATAAATCGTAGATCGCGAGTTATTCGTATCTTCTTTTCAGCTGAATCCCAAACTCGGTACGCTTTCGCTGTCGTTGAGTATCCGACAAAAATTCCTTCGATTCCTTTTGGTTTCAATTTATCTTTGTTAGGAGAGTTGTTCAGAAAATAGACCTTGGTGCCGAATCGTCGAAGATGCCTGACATCTGGACGTTTTCCTGTCAACATTTCGAAAGGAGTTTTCATATTCAAAAGTTTGGTTATGCATCTATTTCGCAAATAACAACCAGTCGATACCGCTTCACCCCAGAATGATTGTGGCAGTCCAGATTCCGAAAGTATACACCGAGCCAATTCTATCAAGGTCCGATTTTTACGTTCGGCCACTCCATTCTGCTGTGGAGTGTAGGGGGTGGTCAAACGATTTCGAATTCCGCATTCACGTAGGATATGATTCATGTTCGTGTTGACGAATTCGCGTCCGTTGTCGGATTGTACGGCCTTGATTTTTAATCCAGTTTGTGTTTCCATTAGATTTTTTAAACTCGATGAATATTTCAGATACCTCGGATTTGTTGCGCAAAAAGTAGACTTCGGTCCAGCGGGTAAAATCATCAGTGAAGGTCAATAAATATTTAGCTCCACCTATGGATTGTGTGCGCATGGGTCCACAAAGATCGGTGTGGATGATTTCCAATGGAGCAGATGTTCCTTGACTTTTCTTCGGGAAAGGCGCACGAGTGATTTTACCTGAAGCACATGTACTGCACGGTGATTGTTCGGAGTCAAGTTCGAAATTTAAACCGGTCACTGATTCACTTTGCATCATTGATCGCAGATCCTTATAATTCAAATGACCAAGTCGCACGTGCCATTTTGTTTCGTCACTTTTTGCGTTTTCGACAACACTCGCGATGTTCGGCTCACTGTCCACGAGAAATAAATCGCCTTGACGTTTCGCGACTAATTTTACATTTTCGTTTTTATCTTTAATTTGCGCGCACGTCCGATCAAAGACAACACTGTAACCCTTATCGACAATTTTAGCGACCGATAGTAAATTTGTACGCAGAGACGGTACATACAGAGTATTTGGTAATAAGAAGGATTTATCCTCTTTTCCATTTAAAACTGTCATACGCACTTCACCCTTGGCGGTGACTTTCGCGACTGCGTCACTTGCTAATTTCACTCCACTATTGGTTTCGCGAGAATTCAGAAAGAGTTTAGGGTCTTTGCAAATATGTGATGTCGAACCGCTATCGAGGCACCATTTTTCACCTGTCACAACGTTAAATGACGAAGCACTTGGAATTTCGCGAACTAAAAACGCGTCCTCGACTGTATTTGCCTTTTGATTTAAGGACCTTTTTCGTTTGAAACACTTGGCTGTCTTGTGATTAGTTTTTCCACAAAAATCGCACTTTAATTCACTTCGTTGGTAGGAATTCGAATTTCGATTGTCACTTCCGATGTTATTCTTGAAAGATCCTCTTGGATTTGATTGTCGATGTTTCACGTACATAGCACCACTAGAATCTTCACTTTTACGCTCCCTAGCAAAACTCTCTTCGATTATTTTAGCCATTAAATTGTCCACACTAGGCAAGGAATCGCGAGACTTAATAGCACAACAGAAATTATTGTAGCTTTCCGGTAAGCTGTGAAGCATCATAATTGTCAAGAGTTCACCGTTAACGTCCACTTTCATTTGTTGCAAATTGTCCACTATGCTCATAAAACGCGATAGAAAGTCTTGCACATCGTCACTTTCACGCATTTTGAGCAATAACAATTGTTCCAATAAGGTGGCTTTTCTTGTGGGACCTTGAGACGCGTATATTGTCTCGAGTTTAGTCCACACTTCGTTCGATGTTACGCAATTTCTGATATGTTTTAATTGAGAAGAACTAATTGATAGAATCAAGTCAGATTTTGCTATTCGATCTTCCAGATTCTATTTTTCGAGCGCTTGCTGCGCGACTTGCCGCGCGTCTCCCTCTCCTGTAACGGCGGGTTTTTCTTTGTCACCAGCGACGTATGCCCAGGATCCACTTTTCACAAGGAGGGCCTCTACTTGAATCTTCCATGTTTCATAATTATCCTTGGAAAGGAGTTCGATTCGCATGGGGGCAAACGAATTATTTTGAGCTTGAGCCATTTTCGAAAACGTGTATGCGTGTGTGTGTGACCGACGCGAACAATCGTGATGGCGGCTAATGTCCCGTTCCACGTAAAATAGATCGCGAGATTATTTTCACGAATAGAAATCGTTGCGAATGATTACATGTCCGAAAACCCGATGTAGCACTACACGAACAATTCTTGCGGTTCACTTTTCGTTACAAAAAGAGACGATACCGAAAAATATACGCGAGGATGCAACCGAGAATATTCGAATGATCACGGCGTGTCTCTATGGCGATTTGCGAACTATAAACACTTTTATTACTTTACCGATATTTGTCAATTTCGTCCACTGGGCCCATAACCTGTTAGGATGTGCGAGTGAGTGTAGACGAATTTTATCGAAAGAAAGTATTTATTAAATGTATATTGAGATTAACAAATTACAAGGAATGTAGTTAAACACGAGGTGAATGAATAAACTGATCGGAAGATTCTCAATGTGTGAGTGTTTTAAGTGAAAAGTAAAAGAAAGGCGATTAAAGCGCCACACTGAATCTGAATATTAAAGTTCTGAGTAAAAATGTCGTAAGAGCGCGAATTACAATTCCCAACAGATTTAAAGAAGAATTTTATTTAAAAATTCTAGAAAATAATAATTGAATTAAAATGATGAAAATAATTTTGAAAAAATTAGAGTAATCAATTTCTTCATTTTTTATAATAAATATTCTTATACATTTTTAAATTTCAAAAAGGTTTGAATTTGAAATTTCCGAAAATCTTGATTTCTGTGGAAAAGTAATAATGATTTAATATTTATTTAGAAAAGAAGTTATTGATGTTTTCGAATAATTTTACAATCATTTTTAACAAATAGAAATTTTGTTAATATTTTCTCCAAAATAAATTTAATATTTCTTAAACAAAATTTGATTTATAACATTTATTTTACTTAAAACTTATACTTTGCTTGTGAATTGTAATTGAGAAGCAGAAAATGTGCAAAATATTTTCTACTTTTTAATTTTAATTTTCCAACAATTTTTTAATTTTTTTTTTTTAAAGGAAAAAATAGCAGCATAATTTCGATTTGTCAAACAATTAAGTTTTTCATTTTAAAAAAAAGAATAATATTTTGCAGGATTTACATTTGCTAATTACCTAGAAAGTTTGTTACAAAATGATAATTATTTTAGAGACAAAGAAATAATGAATAATAACATTAATAATTTTTTTAGATCAATAAAAATATTTTTGAATTATTTGAAAAATAATGATAATATTATTAAATTGAAAAATAGTAAAAAAAAGAAGTAGGTATAATATTTATAAAAAATTTTCGTTTGGCAATTTTTAACAGAATGTTGAATAAAATACATGAAATTTTTCCACAATTGTGATTTTTATTTTATATATAAATTCCAGAATTATAAAAATACAAATTTTTTTTTATCTACAAATAGTTCTTTAGTATATGACATTAATATTGTCAAAAAATATTGAGGTAGTTGGTTTTTTTTATAGCAAGCTTCGTACGTCATAAATAATTTTTAAAAATTAGGTAGTAAAAAAAAAGAGTATCTATTCTTAAGAAGAATTTTGAAAAAAAATTTTTATATAATTGAATTCCTGAGGAAAATTTTATAACAATTTATGAAAATAATTATGAAATGTTTGTAAATAATTTTATAAAAATTTTTTTTAAATAATTGAATTTTTATGGTAAATTTAATTATTAAAATACAACATATTGAAAATAATTGAATTTCGAAAATTTTTGGAAAATAATTGAAACGTTTATGAAAAGAATTTTATTTCAATTTGTTAAAATATTTTTAAGAATTTTATTAAAACTTTTTGAGAATAATTTTTTTTTCCCAACTATATATTAGCGAATTTAAAGTAATGTGAATTTTCATATATTAATAAAGAAAAAAAGTATCTTTTAGTGTCACAAATTAAAAAAAAAAAAGGAGTTTTAGTATGGATAATAGTACGAAGCCTGTTATATAGTATAAAATATCAATAATTAACTTGTTATTCGTCACAGCAATCAGTATCTTGACATCCATAGTCTCCTCCATTGTCATAATTATCATAATCAGCGGCATTACATGTATTACTATAATTTTCATTATAAAAATTTTCTCCATTATTATCTTGATTATTATCTTGATTATTATCTTCACAATTATTATCATCTTGATAGTCATTGTTGTCTCCGTCATTTGTTCCTTCAAAAAATAATTCATCAACATTCATAACTGGTGATGAAGAATAATGATTATGAAATATATGACTAGTTTGATGAAAATTCGTGTAAGAATTTGAATTTCCATTCGATCCTGAACGATAATGAACAGAAGTATACAATTTTTTATGAGAATTATTATCTGTTTTAGAAGACTTCTTCAAAGGCACTTGAGAAGTAAAATTATCGCTTGAGGCACTTTTTGTAGCCATCGAATAAATTTTAGTTAATATTTCCATTAGAAATATAAATCCCAAAAGGTACATTACAAGCTGAAAATTATAAATGAAAAAATGTTAAATATACAAGAAAAGAAATTGTTTTCTTTAAGACTTAAATATTTAATAGAGTATTTTTTTTGTTTTTTTTTTGTTTGTTTTTTTTTTAATATGTAATGTTTAAAATTACCAGTATTAAAGCATTTCCAACTCCTGGTGGAAAAATAAATAGGTAAGTACAACTGAATGCAGAACTGAATAATATGTCCTGTAAAAGAGAGATTTTTAGTAAAAATATAAAAATTTTGTTTGTTTGTTTGTTTAATGGGAAAATGCAAACTTACCAAAACGTAATATAATTTTTCGGTCATAAATAATGCATACAGCATTATTAAAGCCACAGTTACGAGAAATGAGAAAACGATGAATTGAATTAAATTTACATTATGAATATCATCTTTGTATAAAATACAAAAATAAAACAGAATTATATGAACAACCTGAAAAAAGATTATATTATAATATTGATCTACTGGGGAAAATATTAATTTTTTTTTAAATACTTTTTATACTTACAATTAAAATGGACTGAAAAATTGTCGTTGTATAACATGAATCTTTAACTTTCTTTCTTTGTCTTTTTTTTAAAAAATTTTTTCTCTCCGCTCTAATATTATTTAATTTCACTAAAAATCCATTCTTCTCCTCTATTGTTAATTGTGTTTTTTTATTCGATAATAATTCAATAATATTTTTCTCAGCTTCTTCAAATTCAAGATTACTGTTAATTTTTTCTTTATTATTTATTAATTTTGTGAATTCTTTTAAAACATCATTTTTATCAGGCATCTTAATTACCGTATAAGAATTAATTTCTTCAATTGTTGGTGCTGTTGCTTTAAGTTCACATTGATTATTTTTAAATATACTATATATTGATGGAAAATTTTTAGAGTGCATTGGTTTTTTCACATCATTTGAAATAGAAGGAGGAGGATCGACTTTTATTTTTATTAAAGGTTTTGAAGTTGAAGAAGACGAACTATCACTGTTTGAAAATTCTTTTGGTAAATATGCTGGTAAAAATCCAATGATTGGATAGTTGTTAACATTGTTTGAAGTGTTTTTCATTGATGATGTTTTTTCTTGATTTGTTGACATATTCGCAATGTTTTTAAACTACAACAATAATGTATTTTATTAAAAATAAATAAAAATTGTATATAATAAAAAGTATTCTTCATATTTAAAAGATTGGAAAATTTATTTTTTCTTTAGTTAAATGTTAATAGATAAACTGTATCTTTCATTTGTTACACAATTTCTCTAATGGACATGATTTTTATATTAGAAAAGCTATAAAGTAAGAATCAATTTTCAAACTTTATTAAATTAATGTACTGATTTATAAACATTTAACAATTAATAATTAAATACAATCTGCACGGAAATTGTAAACTAATAAAATAAAGTACTTACTTGTAAAATATTCTTAACTTAATGTTCTTCTTGAAATAAATTTTATCTTCTTCTCTTACATGTTTTTTTTTTTTTTTATTTATAAGTTGGATAAATAATACATTTTTTTAGAGTTTCCACTTTTTTTTATATAAATATCTTGTTAGCAGAGAGAAGTAAAATATATTTAAGTGTAGACTGTAACTTTGTGTTATGCACACTAAAATCAAACTTTGTGCTCGTCTACTACTACGCAATGGGGAAACGCATGTTTTGTATTTTCAAGGCTAGTCGAAAATACCAAATGACCTACATTTTCTCTTTTGGAGAAAAAAAGTTATACGTAGCTTCTCATAGACATCAAAAATTTTATCTACGCAGCGTTATGGTAAAACAGATCACTACGAATTCTAATACAAAACCATCAATTTTTTCTACTTCTGACAATAATTTCATTTTTAACTTTTATTATTCTAAATAACTAATTCTTGAACAACTATCATAAAATTATTACTTAGAAATTATTTAATGAAAATTTTACTTAAATATCTCAAAATTAATTCAATTTTAAGAGTTGCGTTTATAATATATTCATATAGGTAAATTAACTTTAAAAGGTTTTAATTTGAAATTTTAGAAAATTTAAATTTTTAATGAATTTTCAAAAATAATGAAATTCTTCTTTACAAAAGTTCAATTATGTTCAAAATTTAAAAGAAAAATTCTCATCAAAATCACAATTATCTTTATAAATAACAAAATTCTTCTCCAAAATTCAGTTATTTTCAAAAAAATTTTCCTTATTTCAATGATTTTTAATATATCTACTATTTTTAATAAATTTCCCACAATAATTCAATTATTAAAAAAAAAATTTTTATAAAAATTGTACTCAAACATTTAATTATTTTCATAAATAATAAAAGTTGCACAGAAATTCATAATTATTAAACTATTTATTATTTTATTTCCCACATACAGTTTTCATTTATATTGTTTCACAGAGCTCTGCGTTAAATGACAAATTTTAATTAGCATTATGACGAGAATTCAAAACATTCAAATAAGAGAAAATTGTTTTCATAATCTGAAACAAAAGTGAACAGAAATTATTAAATTTTTTATTTCATAGATTATATTAAATATTTAATGTTAAATTTTACATCACCAGTATAGTAACAATGAATTACCGTAGTATATAAATCTAAACCCAAAACTAGAGTTTTACCAACGTTTAAATTACATTCAATCAAACTTCTCGATGTCATATAATATATAACCATTGCAATTTTTTTCTTCGTATCATACCAATGGAAATCGTATCTGTAAAATAATTACATCACAAATTTTACTTATAAAAATGCATTGTAATTATTAAAACAAAGTTTTGAAGTAATTAAAATAAAATAGTACCTAATTGATCAGAAACGGAATTCAAGAGAATAAAAAATTTTTTAATTCTTTTTAATTCCTCACTTCTTACTGGGAAACGAGGATTTTGCATATATATTATTATATACTGTGTTATTGTATATAAAATAAAATAAATCCAATTATATCATTAGTATATAGGTACTGTTATTTTTTACTCACAAATGAGATGTTAAATTTGAGCTTTGACTTTGTACCATTTGTCCGGTAAAACAATTAAAAAATATATGAATAGCTTGTCCAATGGCAATACTCACTCCTTTCACAAAATAGTTAAAATCTTGTTGCTTCAAAATTATCTATCAGGAAATACGAAGGAAATTGATATTTAAAGTTAATAACCAAATATTAAAGCTTAATTAATATATTTATTTTGTAAAATAAGAACACCTATCTAAATAATATTAAATATAATATCCATAAATTTTAAAAAGAAATTTAAAACATTAATTTAATCTAAAAGTAATAGATAGGAGATGTCTGCAGACTTTCATAGAAAAGAATACTTTCTTCAAGCTTTTTTAAAATCGTTTAAAAAGTACTTGAGTGATGCTATCTGCCATTTGAAAAAACAATGTTTTGTCAAAAAAAAAATATAACACTACTTTGAAGTAAGAAAAAACTTACCATTGATAAATGAAAACTCATTATCATCACCGTTGTAGAAAATAATAATAATAAAGCCATAGCAAAGCATGAGTTAGTCAATTCTATGAATCTGTTTAAAAAAACAAAATATACAATTAAATACTTAGTAAACACCATAAAATATTCTTCCAAAACAAAATGTACGTACGCAAGTATTCTGATGTGCAATTTTGCACAAGCACAAGCGTTCTCGTACATCACAGGATCGTCAACATCAAGAAATTCGCCATCTTTATTTTTATTAATACTAAGTATTTTATATCTAAAAATGTAATAAATTAAAACATAGAGGAGACTGGGGCGAAAAGTTAAATTGTGAAAACAGTTAAAATTCATTATCTTTCGAACGGAAATAGTTAGAGCATTGCAATTTTAATTATATAAGGGTGTTATCACCATAAATAAATGTCCGGAGTTATGTGACATTCTGTTAATTTTTGTGGTGTCCATATTTAAATTTTTTTTTTACCCTACTTTTGAAAATTTTTTCGTAAAAGAAAATATCAACTTTTAAGTATATATTTTTTGCATTTATTCTCACCGCGATTTTTTTACTTCATTATTTGGCTCCCTTGAAGAGATACCTAAAGGTATTTGCTAAATATCTTTAGTCAGATTTTTTTATATTTGTTGTTAAAGCAGAAAACGCACCCTGGGGCGAAAAGTTAAATGTATTTTTACATCTTATTAAAAATTTTTTTTTTCGTTTTTTTGGGTTTATTTGTTTAAAAATGACTTATGATTTCCTGTTATATCACTAGTATTAAAAAAAAGAAAAGTCAGTATATTCCATTAGGTCAAAAGTTATTAATATTTTTGTGACCGCGCTCGCTGCGCTCCACAGAGTGGGATAAAAAGAAAAAAATTTAGTTCAAATTAACTTTTAGACTCCAAATTTTCACCGAATTAAAAAATTTGCTTCTCTCTAACTCAGAACTAAATTCTAAAGAGATCTGTAAAAGTAGACTTTTTAAATATTTTATTACAAATTTTTAATGTTAATGTAAAAGTGTAAAAAATGATTTTTTAAACATTTCAATATATTTTAAACAAAACTTTTTTTTAAAAAATCAATATTGCATAAATTTTATGTCTGGGGGTGAGTAAGTTAAAAAAAAATTGTTTCTAAGATTACAAATTGTTATAAATAAATTATATAAACAATTAAACTCTAGGCGAAGATATGACAAACATTAATTTGTTTGTTTTATAAATTTAATTCAGCTAATTGCGATTAAACTTTCTTTTAATTAAATTTATGTTTTGCATTAATTTTTCTTAATTATTTAAACAATTTTAACAATTGCATTTTTGAGCACAAATGAATAAATTTTTTTAAATTAATGTTTCTCGTAAATAGCCTAGAAATTGTCCTTATGAAAAAGTCATTTTGCAAATAAATTTATCGTTTTTATAAACAATTCCACTTTAGGCAAAATTATGTCTGAAAGAATTTTTTTTTTATCTTCAGCTTATTGCAATCTAATTTTTTTTTTAATAAAACTGATATTTTGCGATAATTTTTTCTTAGTTATTTAAAAAATTTTAATAAACAATTGCATTGTAGTGACAGTTTTGGACAGAAATAAAATAAATCTTTAAACAAAATTTTCCAAGCTTTATTTAGACAAGTTTTAAAAACATTTCATTCTATTATTATAGTATTTTCATTAAATTTATTTGTTACTGCTATTTATATGTAAAAATAGGAGAAATCGAAGCAAAACTTCGTTTTCATTAGAAGTAATTAACTGCATAATTTAATCTTAATTTATAAAACAAACAATTAATTTTTAACCAAAAATGTTTGATGAATATTGTTTATTCAATTTGTTTCGAGAAAAACGGAATCAAACATTGCGATACCAACTAATTGTTGTATCTCTGGTTCTTCTGGGAAGTTATTCAGATAAGAATTTTTTACAGTCCAGGGACACCTTAGAGATGAAAAATCAAGAGGTCCGAGAAAAAAAATGTCAAAGTCAAATGTTACTTAAAACCCTCGACAATTGGTACAGTATTATACCCTATATATTTATGATTGCTTACTTTAAAACACCAAATAATGCGCAAGTATGTCGAGAGCACAAAAATAGTATTAAATCTGACAGAACGATTAAATTCACTCCATATACAACACCAAACAATTCATGTGTAGTTACTGCTAAATAATAATTATCTTCTTCAAAAAGTACATAATTAACTTCGGCTGGATAATACCTTGGACGTGTTTCATTTAAGGGATTGATTAAGTCCATGTAATAAGGAATTTGTCCAATGATTACATACGCAAACATTGTTGATGTTGTATAAACTGAAATTGTTAAAAATAATTATTTGTATTGCGCTTCTTAGAAATGTACCTTACAAAAGGATTATTTAGTTTGTAATAAAAAATTATCTTTTGCCATGTTTATTCAATTGTATTATTTATTAGTTACCTATATAGGATATTATAACAATTTTTGTCATTTTTGAATATTTGAGAAGGATTTCTAATTCTTTTGCATCTACTTGGAGTGTTTCATAATCTTCATAAATATGGATAAAAATTTGTCTTATCTAAAATTTCATTCATTTGCGTTTGAGCGAATGGGAAGAAGATTTCGCCGAGCGCGCTCGGCCGAAAGAGTTAGTTCCAGTCAGGTAGCAGTGTGTGGCCCAGAGAGGCGCTCACTGCTACCTGCTGCTACATGACTGATATTATCCCTTACAACCACGCGCTCGACGAATTCTTCTTCCCATCCGCTCATTTATAATTAGTTGAATATTTTAGAAATATTGTTAGTTTATTATTGTTTCATAAATAAAATAACATCACTGATCATAGGTTGATAAGTTATCAACCTATGATCTGTTATCAATAATAACACATTAATGATAACATTGATGATAACACATTAATGTGTATAATAACACTTTTGATACGATTGAAAGTACTTTCCACTTTTATTAATTTTTTTTAACACTGTTAATAGTGTGATAACTCTTTTAAGAAAAGGATATGATGTTAATGAGAATGATAAAACTTTTTAAGGGAGTGATAACTCTTAAGTAGAGTGATAACAATTTTAATAGAGTGTTAACTTCAAAAAAGGTAAACTTATATGAGAATGAGAACTTTACGATAGTGATAACCTTTAAGAGAGTGATAACCATTAAGAGAGTAATAACTTTTAAAGAGAATGATAACTTTAAGAAATTGATAACCTTGTTATGAGAATGATTAACTTGATTTTAATATGTTACAAAAATAACAGTACGTTGAAAATAAGACTCGTGATTTTAAATGTACGCAGGGCTCGAAGCAGTGAAAGTATTTAAAAAATACGGACTTTACGGACCAAAAATGAAAAATTACGGACCATTTACGGACCAACTGACAAAAACAGAATCAGTCCGAATAAAATAAGAGAACATTTTACTTAAAACTAGAAATTCAATTTTTCATAACCATAAAACATGAAGAAATCGATAACTCCGAGTCTTCGACTCAAAGTCATCGATTTCTTCATGTTTTATAATAAATTAATAATAATTATTAATAAAAATAATTTACAATAATTAAAATCCTTATCAATTCAATTATTATTTTCAAGAATTTTTATCTAAAATTCTTCTTTATATATCTATAATTTTTATTAATTTTCAAAAAAGTTCTTTGACAATTTCCAAATTCATTTCTTTACAATATTCAATTTTACGAAATTTCAATTATTCGTATAGAAAATATAAATATAAATATATAAATAGAAACTAAAAATAATATTAAAAAAACTCAATTAAAGTTTTACAAAAAAAATTAATTACAAAATTCAATTATTTCGAAAAATTTACGCTATATATTGCTTTTAATATTCAATTATAATCTAAAATTTCAACTGTGAAATTCATTTTTATGAAATGAAAATCAATTTTTATTAGAAAATTCTACTAAAATTCAATTATTTAAAAAGAAAAAAAACTAATTTATTTTATTTTCAAATAATTGAATTCTATCAACGAATTTTAATAAAACGTACTTTTATGAATATAATTACATTTTTCGAGAAATTTGATTAAAATTGTATTTTAAAAATAATTGAAATTCTTCATTGAATTTTATTATTTATGACAATAATTGAATTCTTGAGAAGAATTTTATTAAAATTTTTAAAAATAATTAAATTCTTGTAAAAAATTAACAGGAATTTATTTTTAAAATATATATTTTTAAAAATATCAGAATTTTAGCAGAAATTGAAACATTTTAATAAGTTTTAATAAAACTTTTTTTTGGTAGAAATTCAATTTTTAAGACAATTTTTAAAAAAATGTCTCGATAAAATTCAATTATTTTTAAAATTTTAATGAAATTCTTCGAAAGAATTCAATTATTATAATCTAAGATTTTAACTGAAATCTATTTTTAAATCCATGTTTATGAGAAAATTCTACTAGAATTCAATATTATTTAAATACAAAAATAAATAATTTATTGAATAATTGAATGTTTCTTGAAATTCAATTCCTATTAAAAATTTTATCGACAAATTTTTAAATAATGAAATTCTTTGGACGAATTTTAATAAAAATTTTCAGAATTTTTTCGAGGAATTCGATTAAAATTCTATTGAAAATAATTGAATTCTCCTAAGAAGAATTTTATTACTTTTGAAAATAATTGAAATTTTGCAATGGATTTTATAACAATTTTTGAAAATAATTGAATATTATTACATTAAAAAATAATTCAATTCGTGTGATAAATATTTTTAATTATGAAAATAATTGAAATGTTTTAATAAATTTTATTAAAATTTTTGAAAATAATTGAATTTTGTCGAAGAATTTTGCTATTTATTTCTGAAAATAATTGAGATGTTGAACATTTTTTTTTTTAGATTTTTTGAAAATAATTGAATTTTGGAGAAGAATTTTAATATTTCTAAAAATAATTGAAATTTTGACGAGAATTGTTAAAAATTTTTGAACACAATTGAATTTCTGCGAAGAATTTTATTACTTTTGAAAATAATTGAAATCTTGCAGTGGATTTTTTTAAAATTTTTGAAAATAATTGAAATTTTATTACTTTAGAAAATAATTGAATTTGTGTGACAAATATTGTTAATTATGAAAATAATTTAAATTTTGATGAGAATTGTTAAAAACTTTTGAATACAATTGAATTTCTGTGAAGAATTTTATTACTTTTGAAAATAATTGAAATTTTGCAGTGGATTTTATTAAAATTTTTGAAAATAATTGAAATTTTATTACTTTAGAAAATAATTGAATTTGTGTGACAAATATTGTTAATTATGAAAATAATTGAAATTTTTAATAAATTTTATTAAAATTTTTGAAAATAATTGAAATTTTGATGAGAATTGTTAAAAACTTTTGAACACAATTGAATTTCTGCGAAGAATTTTATTACTTTTGAAAAAAATTGAAATTTTGCAGTGGATTTTATTAAAATTTTTGAAAATAATTGAAATTTTATTACTTTAGAAAATAATTGAATTTGTGTGACAAATATTGTTAATTATGAAAATAATTGAAATTTTTAATAAATTTTATTAAAATTTTTGAAAATAATTGAAATTTTGATGAGAATTGTTAAAAACTTTTGAACACAATTGAATTTCTGCGAAGAATTTTATTACTTTTGAAAATAATTGAAATTTTGCAGGGGATTTTATTAAAATTTTTGATAATAATTGAAATTTTATTACTTTAGAAAATAATTGAATTTGTGTGACAAATATTGTTAATTATGAAAATAATTGAAATTTTTAATAAATTTTATTAAAATTTTTGAAAATAATTGAAATTTTGATGAGAATTGTTAAAAACTTTTGAACACAATTGAATTTCTGCGAAGAATTTTATTACTTTTGAAAAAAATTGAAATTTTGCAGTGGATTTTATTAAAATTTTTGAAAATAATTGAAATTTTATTACTTTAGAAAATAATTGAATTTGTGTGACAAATATTGTTAATTATGAAAATAATTGAAATTTTTTAATGAATTTTATTAAAATTTTTGAAAATAATTGAAATTTTGATGAGAATTGTTAAAAACTTTTGAACACAATTGAATTTCTGCGAAGAATTTTATTACTTTTGAAAATAATTGAAATTTTGCAATGGATTTTATTAAAATTTTTGAAAATAATTGAATTTTGTCGAAGAATTTTGCTATTTATTTATAAAAATAATTGAAATGTTGACAATGTTTTTTTAGATTTTTTGAAAATAATTGAATTTCGGAGAAGAATTTTAATATTTCTAAAGATAATTGAAATTTTTGACGAGAATTTAAAAAAATTTTTGAACATAATTGAATTTTTGCGAAGAATTTTATTACTTTTAAAAGTAATTGGCTTTCTGCAATCATTTATAATTTCTCTAAAATTCTCAAAATTATATCGTACAATTTACGAACTTTTCATTCTTTTTGAATGAAATTATGGACTGCTTTACAAACCTTTTTTCAAAAAAAAAAAACGGACTTTTACGGACTTGAAGCAAAGTTAAGGACTTTTTCAGGATTTACGGACCTACTTCGAGCCCTGTGTACGTTTAGAATTAACATTTTTGCGAGATCTCGACGAAAGCTCAGGCAAAAGCGAACTGAACTACCCGATTTAAGGAAATAGGGCCTTTTCTTTTTCCCGAAGTACCGATACCAGACAAAGAGGGGAGAAAAGCAATGTTTTTCTAGAATATTTCATTTTCATATTTTTTTTAAGTCTGAGGCAGGATTGTCCACTGAGCCCTATCCTCTTCAATATGTTGATGGCAGATTTGGAGGAAAAATACCCACTGTCCACGTTCTAGAACTGTTCTAGAACAATAAAATGGAAATAAAGAACAGTTCTAGAACGGTTTCATAATTGTTCCTGTACGTGCACACTGAATTGGTTGAGAGGGGAAAAGGGGGAGTTATATTGGGGAACAAAAGAGTTTATTCTCTGGCTTATGCTGACAATGTAGTGATGATGGCGGATGAGGAAGATGGCATGAAATTGATGCTTAAGAAATTTGAAGGGTATGTGAATGTACAGAAAACGAAAGTTATGTAATAAGAATGTTAAGAAAGTGGATGAGTTTTGTTATCTGGAATATTGGTTTCAATATGACGGAAAACAGAAGTTGAATACGTATGGAAAGAAGGGTCAAAAAAGTAGGAAGATTAATGGGACAGGTTTATAGGGTTATTATAGGCAAAAGAAAGTTTAGGGATGATTGAAAAAGAAGGCTATGGTTGTTCGATATGTTTGCGGTTTCTAACCGGTTCTTTAATTAGGACCCTAAATTACGTTTTCTGTCTTTGCAGTAAGAAAAAAATAAGAAATCCATAACATGGGAATAACAGCTGCCATTGAAGTACATTCTAAAAAGTAATCCATATCATGTCGAGACTGATAAAGCTGTGTTATCTGTAAAAAATTAGAATTAATGATATTAATTTTCAATCAAATATAATGTGTTTTCTATAAATCAGTTACTTTTTGTCTCAATGCAGATATTAATATGCAAATTTTCCACTTCCCATTACAAAACAATTCTTTCAGAGCCTTAAAAATAATTGTCAAAGCAAAATTGAATCGTAAACCAAAATCCGAATATGATGTTACCAATAATACAATTAGCGTGTGTTTCTTTCTAAAATCGTGAATCTTTTTAGAATTTGAAATGGATTATTTTTTGTATGCAGACATGGGTGTTATGTTTAATTGGTCTAAAATAAACCCAATTATATAATTATATATATATATATATTATAATAATAATAATAATTATTATTATTATTATATATCATATATAATTGTTTTTAGATATAATTTATTTATCTAAAGATATAGTAGACCCTTATTCTTTGATTATTATTATTATTATTCAACAATCCTAGATAGACGGTATTTATATATTTAAAATAAAAGAATAATGTTAAAAGGCAGGTGTAGATGAGATAATTTTAATAAAATACTACAATGTATGTGTAACATAATTCCTACAGTTTATTCAATACAATTTAAAGTTTCAGATTCTTATTCTTTTAATCATTTTAATGTAATAGAATTTTATTATTTATTGTAACTTATTATTATGCATGCACATAAATATCATCATTATTCGACAAGATTATCAAGAATTTTACTAGCTTTGTAAGGAACCCCTTAAATATTTTTTAAAATATAAATGCATTATATTGTTGCAAAATGTTTTAAACAAAAAGTTGTTGGGTTTAAAAAATATATTATAGTAAACGAGTCCTGGATTTCGTATGGTGCATATTTTACAAAATATTAAAGGTGTTTCATAAAGGGTGTGATAATGCCACACCCTTTATAATATGATCGTACTTACAACAGGATATGAAAATGTTAACAAAAGCACAAAGTAAAATATTCTTTGCAAGTATAATATTCTTCTCTGAATAAATGGCCAACAACCTGAAATCTGAAGATATAGTTTTAGAAGCGAAAAAGCTGATAGTAATTCTTTATTAATCATATTTCAAGAATGTAGAAAAAATATTAGTATTAAAATCTTAAAATTTTCTTGTATTATTTTTAATTATCTACTTGATTGTAATAAACAGTAAATATTAGAGGTAATTATTATTGAAAAATTATTAAGATGTGAGTTGTAAAATAAGCTATAGAGTATTAATAATCTGTTTTCCTTGTGCACTTATATATTCTATTATGGATTTATGTGGATTTAATTCTTTTTTTTTCATTTAGTTTTTAAATACTTTTAATAAACTAATTTGTATCACTGAAATTTTTCATTTGAAAGTTAAAAACTATTAAAAAGTTTAAGTTAAAATTACAGAAAATATATAATAATTCAAATAAAATTGGTCTATTAAGTCTATCATTTAATATATAGAGGTAGTTTTACTTATTAATATAAATATTGACATCGTAAACTTTAATGAGTATACTTAAGGTTTAAAATTGCATACTACTCTTCTGTGTAATTATTCTACCGCTTGACGGAAAATTAGACGCATTTATTGCAGTTTTATACATACATATATATAAATGCGGTTTATTTCAATTTCTAATATAAGAAGTTATAGAGACGTTTACAACATAAGACACTTTAACTAGGGATGAAAATTTAACATTAAGCGTATTTAACATTATTTATAAATAATTATTAGAATCAATGCATTCAGTCAGATAAGATATTTTATAAATAAAAAATAAAAATTTTAATTTATATATTTTTATAATTAAAGACATATCGCATAAAGATAAAAAAAAAAAAAAATTGTTGAATTTATTTTTAAAGTGTACTTTTAATGATTATCATTTAATAACTAAAATTTCTTCTTAAACAGATAATTCCAACATTTCCAACATACTTCACTTCCGTACGGCACTGATGCTAAAAATCCAAATGCCTATAAATACATAATAATAAATTTAAAATTGTTTCTTCAATTATAAAATATAATAAATCTCAAAGTAAATTTAAATATATATTACTCTAAGTTGTTCATCGGCATTGGAAAAAATTGAAACAATCAAAAAGAGAATTGTATACATGAGACTGTGAAGAAATTCCTAGAGAAAAATAAAAATAATATTTCTTCAAATTTTACATTATATACAATATTGTAAATAAGTGAATTTATACTTACAGAAATACGGATTTTTTTTGTTCGTCTACATGTACAAAATAAAAGCAAGAAATATGCTGTGAAAAGTGAAGCGCTTAAAGAAATTATAAAGAAAGTTGCTCCTGAAACATTCATTAAACCTTGCATTGCTCCTTTTACACAAATAACAATATCAATCACCTGAAATATAAAAAAAAAATACTTTTGATTTAAATGTGAATTTACTTAAGAAATAAATAATTTTAAAAGAAATTTTCAATTCTTACCAACTGGGGAAATTTTGGTAATAGCGAAGATATATCGAATGAACATTTTTTAATTGCTTCATCATTACTGTCTTTTGTATCAATTTCCTCATAAAATTGATGTAAACTTTTCATTTCTGTATTTAACATTCGAATATCATCAATTTCTTTCATTTTTTTCTGAAAATCATTTTTTTCCTCAGGAGATAATCTAAATTTAATACTATCAATTTTTTGTAACACTTCATATTGACTGTTTAGAAAAATGCTTTTCTCCTCATCAGATTTATTCAACATTTGAATTTTCAATTTTGATATTTCATTTTCAATTTCTTGTTTTTCATAATTTTTTCTTTCTTTCTCATCATTAGGATTAAATATTATTGGTGCTGATGGAAGAACTAAAATTTCATTGCGTTTTACGTTAGTTAAATTATCATTGGAATTTGTTCCCCTTGGAATAATTGGAATAGGAAACAATCCATTTGATGCCGCATTAATTGGATATGGTGGAGAAAAATTTTCATTTCTTTCAATAGTAATATTTTTTGATGAACTTGGCAAATAGGATGAAAGAAATCCTATGGGCGATGGTTCTTTATTTGTGTTGGTTTCAATTATCCCAATAACATGTGTGTCTCTTGTCATTTTTTTTTCTCTAATAATGCTATTTTAGTGATAAAAAAAAATAAAAATTTTCCATAATATTTAAAAAAAATCTATTGGATAATGTTTTGAATAGCATGCAATTTCAAATATTTATAGAATGGAAACAATTCACTCACCAATATGTATAGTTGAATTATTGGAAGAAAAGAAAAAACTTAACGATTAATTTTTTTAACGTGAAAGATAATTTTTTTTTTTATTTTTGTCACATATAGAAGTCTATTTTAAATTTAATAAATGTCATTAAATGATGAATGGAGAAAACAATACTGTGTTCAATGGAAATATAAACAGAAGAATAATATTAGATGAAAGATTAATGTTTGCTTTCGCAAAGCAGACTTCTTTATATCTGGACAAAGTTTGATTACCAGGCATCACTTTACAGAATGAAATTATTCCTATCAGTACATTAATAATTATTATTAGCATAAAACTCATATATACAACTTGTTGCAGAAAAATTTAACTTTAATTTTTATATTAAAAGCAATAATATGGCATATTTTTATGAAAAATAAAAATTTATTTGTCCAAATAGAATTAGAAAATTTTAATACATTAAACCTTTAATTTTATTAAGTATTGAAAAAAGAAAAAAAAATTTTTAATGGCATTAACATTAAGAAAATTTTTCAGTAAATAAATGATGATAAATTAACGGAAAAATGATGAGAGAATGGAAAATATGATATTTTACGCTACAATTGCATTGACATCGTAGAAACAAGACGAGCAAATAATAATCATATTTATTTTGAGTACCTATAGAGTTTGAAATGTCATTTCAATAGTCAATAACAATTCCTATTGAATAAAATTTAAGATTTTATTAAATATGTTATTAAATGTATTTTTGAAATTTGAATAAACAATTATTAGTTAATATTAAAAATAAATAATTTTATATATTGAACTCTATCTCACAATTTTTTTTTATTATTTTCATATATGTATAACATTTTTCAAGTTGTCGCTGAAACTGAAATTGGATTTTCAAAATTCAAAATGGCGGATCCAAAATGGCGGACACATTTTAAAAAGTTTAAATTTTCCTACACAACACGATACAAAGAATTGATATGTAAGTAAAAACTTTTTATATGATTGAAATTCATTTAATTAATTTATTTTTTATTATAATTAATTCAAATATAACTAAAACCTACTATAAAATACTTTTTTTACGTTATAATACTATTTGGGTACATTCTTTAGACTTCAGCCACTAAAAGCTACTATTTCTGTTTTTTTTTTAGAATTTATCTTTGAATTCGCTAATACTAGAAATCAAAAAACTATTCACAAAAATGATAATCAAATTCTTTAAAACGATTCAATTATTTTCAAAAAATATTCGAAATTCAATTATTTTCAATATCTATAGTATTTTCATAAAATTTTGCAAACCAATTCAATTATTTTAAAAAAATTAATAAAATTCATCCATTGAATTATTTTCATAAAGAACAACATTTCTACATGAATTCAATTAATTTAGAATAACATTTTCAAAAAAATTCCGAAAAATCAATTATTTCACAAAACTTTTATAAAATTCTTTACAATAATTCAATTACTATCACTAATAATAACATTTTTCATGGAAATTCAATTATATAAAAAAATTCTAAGCAAGAATTAAATTATTATTTTTATAAATAATAAAAATCATCGAAGAATTTCAATTATTTTTAATACTATTTTAAATTAATTAATAGAAAAATTCAATTATTTCTACTAATAAAATTTCGCACGAGATTACAATTATTTACAATAAAATTTTCATAATATATTTATTATATTTCGAAAAAATTAATTATTTAAAACAATGTTTATAAAATTCTTATACAAAATTCTATTATTTTCAAAAATAATAAAATTTTTCAAAGAAATTCATTTTTTTTTCAACATTTTAATAAAATTTTTCTCAATAATTCAATTATTTTCATAAATAATAAAATTCTTCTCAAGAATTCAATTATTTATGAAAATTTTAATAAAATTCTTAGCAACTATTCAATTATTTTCATAAATAATGAAATTCATCACAGGATTTCAATTATTTTTAATACAATTTTACAGGAATTTCTCGAGAAATGTAATTAAATAAAAAAAAATATAATTTCAATTCCTTAAAAAAATTTTTTTTTAAATATGTAATTAAATTATTATTCTTTTAGATTTTAATAAATATGACGATACATAAGAATATATTATTCCCGAAAATTCAATTTTGAGACACTTTAATAAAATTCTTTGCAAAATTCAATTATTTTCATAAATAACAATATTCATCACAAGAATTCAATTAGTTTTAAAATTAATAAATTTCTTCCTGGAAATTTAATTATTTTAAAAAATATTAATAAAATCTTTCGCAAGAATTCAATTATTTAAAAAAAAGAATTAATAAAACACCAAACAGGCATTCAATTATTGTCAAAAATTCTAATAGAATTCTTTGTAAAATTTAATTATTATTTTTAAAAACTTTTTCGCAATTCAATGATTTTCAATTTCTACCATTTACATAAAATTTCCAAACAGAATTAAATTATTAAAAACATTTTTTGTTAAAATCTTCGAAAGAAATTAATTCTTTAATAATTTTTATAAAATTCGTCGCAAGAATTAAATTATTTTTATAAATATATATTTAAATTCTTTAATGAATAAAAAAATTTGTTGCAGGAATTTAATTTATTTACAGGATAAGAAAGAAGTAAATATTTTTCATGAAAATTAGGAAAAATATAGAATGGAATTTTTGTCAGAGTTTTGTGAAGTATCTAAAGTGATTTTTTTTTTGTCGTCAAGTTTAATTTTTCGATAGCTACTTTTTTACCACTTTTTGTTAGTTTGAAAGATACTTTTTTAAAATTAATTATCGAGTGCAAAGTCTGTTAATTGTTAAATTTATTTATTTAACGAATGGCAGTTATATATTTTGATTCGTTAAATTTACAGTAATAAATATATTGAATCTAAAATAAATTTAAATATTGCTGTTGCATCAATTTTTTTGTTCTTTGAAAATATTTTTAATAGACAGACAGAAAAAAAGTTTTTAGTATATTTTGTTGATATTCTTTTAATTGATTAAATTTATAAATTAGATTTATAGATATGTGTTTCTATCCTTATATTAAAATATGTAATAAAATAATTTATTTATAAAAATTGAGCGTGAACAAATACTTTTTCCTTACATACGGATCCTAATGATTGTTCAGAATCTAGTATCTATTGAAATACTTCAATCTTTCACTGAATCATTTCTGAAATATTCAGAAAATATTATGTACTATATTTGTCAGTTTTTCTAGTTTTCTTGTTAAACAAATTATGAAACATATTGTTGTTTCTTGGCTTCGAAGAGTTTAATTCGGCAAACATATATAAAGTTACAAATCATTACAAAAAGATATACTTGACTTTATTATTTACATTCTTTTATATACTATATTGTCGTTTTATGTATTAACTTTAATAATGTAATCTCAATTTTCCATTTCTCAGTTAACTGTCATTGAAGTTTTTAATATTTGTCTTTTCATTTTGTTGTCGATATCATAAACAAACATTTGCATCCACACTTAATACATAACAGTATTAACCTTATAATTTGTGGAAGTATTTGTGCTCTAATAAGGTATATTAATTAAGTGTAACATTTTCATAATACTTTAAAGATTGTTAATTTCTATACAAAGAACATTTTGGTTTGTTTCCAGCTTGACCTAAATAACTAATGATTATACTAATGATAATAATTTATGATAAGGCATCCAATAAAAAATTATTGTTCTACAAAGTAGATACATTTACAATAAACATTTAAAAAGGTCTCACTGCACTCTACAACAAAAATTATAAAATACCTAAAGATTTATAACAAAACTGATATAAAATTTAGTTATAATTTTTTAAAAAATCTTTATTGGAAAGTGGACTAAATACCTTTAATTGTTTATTTAATCAAATTTTATTTATGTTGATAAAGTAATACTTTTTGGAAGTTTATATGTATGGAAGAATAAGTGGTTTGCAGACTCATAAACAACATCCAACACAATCTACACCTACACAATCACAACTTCCACAAATACAATCTAAACAAATACAATCTCCACAATCACAACCTCCACAATCACAACCTCCACAATCGCAATCTCCACAACAGTTATTATCATTACCATCGCAACATCCACTATTTCCAAAACCGAGCCAAACAGGAAAAATGTTTGGATGTGGATCAGTTGCAATACAACAAAAACAGCAATCAACACCATTAAAATTATTGTTATAGATATAATTGTCATTTATATTAGAATTTACAGCTTCATTTGTGCCAACATGTGACCTCACATTCTGCAATTCATACTGATTCTTGTAATTTAGATTTTCAACGGAATGAAATCTCTCCTTATTGATGTAATCTGCACCGTGTATCTCAACAAGAAATACTTTAATTGTATGCTCCAATTTCTTAATAGCATTTATTCTAGAATCAAAATGATTATTACCAGGATAAATAGTAAATGGATCAATTTCATTCCTGCTTTGACTATCTTGATATGATGATTCAACATTAATTGCAGAAAACCGGACATTTTTAGTATTATCAACAATACAATCACCATTGCATACATGTTTTGATCTATTGGATTTTTTCCAATAATTAAAAAACATTTTTATTCCTCCCTGAACAATACACGTTAGCATTGACATATATCCGCAAATCTATAATAAAAACATAAGTTTAGTATTTTTATTTTTTATCAAATATAGGATACTTGCAACTCCACAAGGGTTTCTTATAATTATTATTATAGCATTCAATACAATAGTGCACAAAGTCTAATCATGTCGGCTTATCCGACAGAAAATACTCGTATAATAGTTTCATTAAAGAATATATAAATATTATTATAATTATATGAGTACTTACAATTATTGACACTGGCGTAATAGGAGAAGTAACAATAACTACCGTTGTTATAATTCCATACAACATCGTCCATATAATACAAAAGAAAAGATCCTGAAAAATAAAAATTATATTATAAACTATTGAATTTTTTGGACAAACAGACTTTGCACTCGATGGTTAATTTTTAAAAAAATAGCAAAAACTAGTTTTCAAAACTAAAAAAAGTAGTAAAAAGATAGCTATCGAAAAATTAAACTTTGACAACCGCAAAAATACTCGTTTTAGACACTTCACAAAACTGACAAAAATTACAATCTATATTTTATTTTCTTGACTTTTCCCTAATTTTCATAAAAAGTATTTACTTCTTTTCTTATCCTGGAAATAAATTGAATTACTGCAACAAATTCTATTATTCATGAAAGAATTTTAAACATTTATAAAAATAATTTAATTCTTGCGATAAGAATTTTATGAAAATTTTTAAAGAATTGATTTCTTTCGGCTAATTTTATGCAAATTCTTAATTTAAATAATTCAATTCCAGAGTAATTTCTATTATTTATGAAAAGAATTGAACTCTTACAAAGATTTTTACACAAAATTTTTTAAATAATTTGAATTTTGTTTGGAAATTCTATAAAAATAGTAGATATTGAAAATCATTAAACTACGAAAAGTTCTTAAAAATAATTAAATTTTATAAAGAATTCTATTAAAATTTTTAACAATAACTGAATGTCTTGGGTAGGGAGGTCACTTTTCCCAAAAAATCATATTCCCAATGAAGAGTCTCTCTCAAAGTACTTTTTTTTATAAAATAAAATTGTTCATGAAAACAATATTCTTCTTTAAATAAATTATTTTTAATAATTTTTGAAAAAGTTCTTTGAGAATATTAAAATCCATCAATTATAGGATATATTTTAATTTTACGTAATTTCTATTATTCGGAAATTCTTCAATTAAATATAATTAGTAAATAAAAACTAGAAATAATTTCAAAAACAAAATGTCCATCAAACTTTGTCAAAAGAATTAACTGTAGTACAGAATTGTTAATTAAAATTAATATTTGTCAAAATTTAATTATTTTTAAAAATTCTTTCTATAAAGCTTTTAATATTCAATTATTATTATTATCTAAAATTCTAACTGAAATTCATTTTTAAATCAATTTTTATTAGAAAATTCTATTAGAATTCAATTATTTAAATACGAAATTAAATCATTTATTAAATAATTAAATGTTTCTAAAAATTGAATTCTTATAAAGAATTTTACCAACAAATTTTCAAATAATTTAATTCTTTCAACGAATATTAATAAATTTTTTTTAAATAATTACATTTTTCAGGCAATTGAATGAAAATTGCATTAAAAATAATTAATATTCTGCGATAAGTTTTCTACTTTATGAGAATAATTCAATTCCAAAGCAGAATTTTATAAATTACAAAAATAATTGAATCCCTGCATAAACCTGCAATGTATTTTATTCCTCATGAAAGAATTTAAATATATTTAAAAAAATAATTTGATTTTTGCGAAGAATTTTATAAAATGTTTTAAAGAATTCATTTATTTCGACCAATTTTATGTAAATTCTAATTTAAATAATTAAATTCATGAGAATAATAAATTGAATTCTTACGAAGATTTTTACAAAAAATGTTTAAAATAATTGAATTCTGTTTGCAAAATTTTATGAAAATAGTAGATATTGAAAATCATTGAATTGAGAGAAATTTTAAAAAACAGTTAAATTTTACAAAGAATGAATTAAAATTTTTTGACTATAATCAAATATCTGTGTGGTATTTAATAAAAATTTCTAAAAAATACTTGAATTCCTAAAAAGCATTTTATTATTTATGAAAATAATTGAATTCTTGCGAATGATTTTATTAAAATTTTTTTAAATAATTAAATTTCCAAGGAGAAATTTAATGCTTTTAAAAATAATTGAATTTTGCAAAGAATTTTATTAAAATGCCTCAAAATAATTGAATTTTCGGTATAATTTTGTTATTTAACGACATTATTGAATCCTTGCATAGGAAGAATTTTATTAAAATCTGAAAGAATAATTCACTTATTTAAGAAAAATTTTGATAAAATTCTAAGCAAGAATTCAATTATTTTCATAAATAATAAAACTCATCGAAGAATTTCAATTATTTTTCAACACTTTAATAAAATTTTTTGCCATAATTCAATTATTTTCAATAATAATAAAATTCTTCTCAGGAATTCAATTATTTTCGAATATTTTAATAAAATTCTTCGAAAATTCTTCGAAATCAATTATTTTAAATTCAATAACTTTTAATAAAATTTTTCTCAACAATTCAATTATTTTCATAAATAATAAACTTCTTCTCAAGAATTATTCATATTTTTATTATTTTTAATACAATTTTACAGGAAATGCTCAAGAATGTAATTATTTAAAAAAATTTAATTTCTATTCCTCTAAAAAAATCAATTATTTAAAAAAGTGTTTTTTTTAATTCTTTGCAAAATTCAATTATTTAAAAAAAATTTTAATAAAATTCTAAGCAAGAATTCAATTATTTTATTATTTTCATAAATAACAAAACTCATCGAAGAATTTCAATTAAATTTAATACTATATTTTTAATTAATTAATAGAAAAATCCATTTATTTTCACAAATAAAATTTTCCACAAGAATTCAATTATTTTTAAAAGTAACAAATGTCTTCTTGGAAATTCAATTATTTTTGAAAATTTTAAAAACAGTCTTAGGAACAATTCAATTATTTTTAAATATTTTAATAAAATACTTCGAAAGGAGTCAATTATTTTAAATACAATTTTAATTAAATTTGTCAAATAATTCAATTATTTTTTTAAATTTTTATAAAATTCTTAACAAGAATTCAATTATTTTTAAAAGTAATATATTTTTTTCATGGAAATTCAATTATTTTAAAAAATCCTAATAAAATTGTTTACAAGAATTCAATTATTTTCATAAATAATAATGTTATTTTTGAAAATAATTGAATTCTTCATAGGAATTTTATAAACATTGCTTTAAATAATTAATTTTTAATTCAAATAATTGAATTCTTGTGGAAAATTTTATTTGTAAAAATAATTGAATTTTTCTATTAATTAATTTAAAATAGTATTACAAATAATTGAAATTCATCGATGAGTTTTATTATTTATGAAAACAATTGAATTCTTGTTTAGAATTTTATTAAAAAATTTTTTATATAATTTAATTTCCATGAAAAATGTTATTAGTAGTGAAAGTAATTGAATTATTTTGTTGTATAAAAATTTTAATTAATGTTTACTTGAGTATATTGGAGAGCCTATTTGTTTATTAAAAATCTTTTTAAAATTGACAATATGCAGAGTTTTTAAGCACAAATTCAAAGCATTGAAAAAGTTATCATGCCAGAAGTTATTGAAGATTTAATTTTTGACTTTCCGGTTTTCTATCGAATTATATTTGCAGTGTTAATAAAGATTTTTGCAAAAAATGATGGAAATTTTAGTTTTTACATAGATAATTATAGTATGATTTTTGTTCGCCCTGAGGTTAAGTATTATTGTATACTTTTTTTTGTCTGAAAAAATGATAGTAAATAAAACGAATAATAAAATACTCACAATTGCTTGTACTGGTGACTTCCAACAAAATGACATCATTATTAGAATTGTAAAAACACATCCCAATAAATCGATTGTAAGGAGAAATATTTTTGAAAATATTAATCCAGACTTGATGACTTGAACAGTGGAAAAAATGTCACAAAACTGGAATTAAACAAAAAATTATCTAATATTAGAAGAATAATTTATTGAATAGTGACAAATTGAATTAATTCTTTTGAATTTAGATGTATAAATAATAACCATTCTTAATAACATGATAATTGTCAGAAAATAAAAAATCCAACCAGATGGAATCATTTCAAGTTTTCTTCGTCTTTTTAAAATACTCCTTAATACGTCATTTATTAATGTTGCCTGTTGTTTTGTCATTTTCGTCCGTGTTTTAATGACAAAACTGAAAATATTTTCTAATGACTCTGTTAATTTAATATTCTTCTCTTCTTCTGTTGAGAATAAATTCTTTACAATCTTTTTTGCTTTTCTTAATTCCTTTACTAGTGATTTCATTTCAATTTCAGTAATCTTGTTACTATCATTATTTGATTTTATTTCTATATTAATTGAAAACATTGATGATGACTTATTATTATTTGGGTTGTCATTTTTTTCAGATGATTCAACTAAGTCTAATTTCGAAGAAACTGATCGTGATGGCTGTGTCGTGATTACATCTGACGTAATTGGTGGAGCCCATGACATATTCCTTGAGGTTTCAATTTGTTCCAATGATTCTGATTTCATTTCTTTAGAATCATCAATTTTTTGCAATGCACTGTTTGTAGAATTTATTGATTCAGTATTTGTTGAAACTGTTGGCAAATTTGAAATTGATGATGCTACAGTTGTTGTACCAACAGACATTGTCGGTACCGCTGTTGATGATGTTGAAGTTTGTGAAACATCTTCCATAAATTCCTTGGCCATCTTATTAACTCCGATATTCTATTAATATTTTTAAACATAATATAAATAAACCATAAATGAAGTAATATAAATTTTAAATAATAATTTTTAATAAATAATTTTTAATAACATAATTATTAAAGAAACACTTTTTCTTTAGTTAAAAATTCAGAAACTTTAATTTATCCAAAGTTTATTTAATCTTATAACAATAATAAAACTTACGTTCTTTTACAAATGAATCAAATTCTCGGTAAAATATCTAATATACAAAGATAACTATATTTTCTTAGAACACATTTCATTTTATTTTTATATTAAAACTATTTGAATCTGTATTAAATAAAACAAATAATAAAAAAGCATAATTACCGTTCGGTGATGTATTAAAATTTAATATTTTTATAAAATGCGGGAAAATTTAAAGTTTTAATATTATACATATAGTTTTAAAAAACATTAACACTCGATAGATACGTAACTACATTCACTCATATACTGTTGTGACTACAACAAGCTGCCAAGTTTTCAGATATTTCTACAGTGTTGCCATATATAAAACTTATTACCAAAAAATTTTCGAGTTATATATTCTATTCATAAATGTGTCGGATGACAAATAACAAACATAATTTACTAAAAATGTCAGATTTACTGATGTGTGACAATCAAATAATATATATGAATTCTTAACGTAGAAAAAATATTTCATTCATATTTTAAAAATTTTTAATTATATTTTTAATTATATTTCTTTGGAACTTTTATTTAAAAAATTTATAATATGGAAAAAATGAATTATAAACTAAGATTTTTTAGAATATTTATTCTATATGATACAATGAAATTTTATATCTATATATAAATAATTTTTTATCAGCAAATATACAGATGGTAATAGATAATAGATAATAAAATGTACAGCTGATGCGATTAATACAAAATAACATTATTCTCAATTTTTACATTAGATCAATGTATTATTTATTAATATGAACATTTTTTAATATTTTAAAAACAAGAAATATATTTGATATTTTTATTTATTATTACAATTTTCTCATTATAATAAATAGAGTATAAAGTGTGACATAACAAAATAAATGGTCACCCCCCCCCCCTATTTGTCACAATTAGTCACATTTTCATAGAACCCCTCCCCTCCTAAAAAGTGTGACGTAATTTATGGACGAAGCCTATTACATTTAGTAATTATACAAAATGATGAGATTTTATTTCTTTTTTAATGTTATTTATAATTGAAGATTAAATTTGAAGAAGTTAACAATTTTCCCGAATCAATCTACACAAATAAATTAAATATCTTAAATAAATCTCGATAAGCTCATGGGCTTCAATGTATATCGACAGCACGCAGCTGCCCTAATACAGAAACCTGCTTAATTTGAAAAATATTTTCGAAATTAATTAATAATTTCAAAATTATCAAAGAACTCAGAAAAAACGGTAGCATGGTGGGATACGAGCCCACGACCTTTCTATTGCCGGTAATTCATCTTTTTCTTCATCTGAACTTGGTTTATTTTTGTAATTTTGACATTTTTTCGTTTAGAAAAAATGTTTAGAAAAAATTTTATAATTACAGACTTCGTACTCGATAATTAATTTTAAAAAAGTAGAAGTAGCTTACAAACTGAAAAAAGTAGTAAAAATAGTTGCAATCGAAAAATTAAACTTGATGATCAAAAAAACTCGTTTTAAACACTTCACAAAACTGACAAAAAATCCATTCTATATTATATTTTATTTTCCTGTATTTTTCATTAAATTGTAAAAAATGTTTTAAAATAATTTACATTAAAATTTTTGACAAAAATTGAATGTCTGTGTGGTAATTTATTAAATATTTTCAAAAATAATTGAATTCCTAAAATGCATTTTATTATTTATGAAAATATAATTATTGAATTCTTGCAAACGATTTTATTAGAATTTTTTTAAATATAATTGAATTTCCATGAAGAAAATTACTTTTAAAAATAATTAAATTCTTGTGGTGAATATTGTTATTTATATGAAAATAATTGAATTTTGCAAAGAATTTTATTAAAATGCCTAAAAATAATTGAATTCTTGAATTATTTATGCAAATAATTAAATTCTTGGGAAGAATTTTATTAAAATCTAAAAATATAATTAAATTATTGCCAAAAATTTAATAAAAATTGAATTTAAAATAATTTATTGATTTCTTTTCGAAGAATTTTATTAAAATATTTGAAAATCATTGAATTCATGAAAATAATTTTATTATTTATGAAAATAATTGAATTTTGCAAAGAATTTTATTAAAATGCCTTGAAATAATTGAATTCTTTCGAAGAATTATTTATGTAAATAATTTAATTCTTGGGAAGAATTTTATTAAAATCTAAAAATATAATTAAATTATTTCAATAATTTCATTAAAATTCTATTTAAAATAATTGAATCCTTTTGAAAAATTTTATTAAAATATTTGAAAATAATTGAATTCCTCAGAAGAATTTTATTATTTATGAAGATAATTGAATTTCCATGAAGAAAATTACTTTTAAAAATAATTGAATTCTTGTGATAAATATTGTTATTTATGAAAATAATTGAATTTTGCAAATAATTTTATTAAAATAAAATAATTGAATTCTTGAGAAGAATTTTATTAAGATCTAAAAGAATAATTGAATTATTTAAAAAATGTTATTAAAATTGTATTTAAAATAATTGATTCCTTTCGAAGAATTTTATGAAAATATTTGAAAATAATTGAATTCCTGAGAAGAATTTATTATTTATGAAAATAATTGAATTATCGCGAAAAATTTTATTAAAATGTTTAAAACGAATTGAATTTCCGTGAAAAAATTTTTTATTTTTGTAAATAATTGAATTCTTCATAATATCTATAGTGGAAAACTTTATGTTTTAAAAAATTGAATTTTTCGATTAATTAATTTAAAATAGTATTAAAAATAATTGAAATTCTTCAATGAGTTTTATTGCTTATGAAAATAATTAGATTCTGGCTTAGAATTTTATCAAAAATTTGTTTAAATAATTGAATTTCCATGAAAAATGTTATTATTAGTAGTGAAAGTAATTGCGAATTATTGTGAAGAATTGTATAAAAATTTTGTTAAATAATTGATTTTTTGGAATTTATTAAAAATGCTATTCTAAATTAATTGAATTCTAGTGTAAATTTTATTATTTATGAAAATAATTGAATTTCGTTTATTTTTTGATATTATAATTAAATCGTTTTAAAGAAATTGATTATAATTTTGAAGAATATAGATGAGCGCATATTAAAAAGAACAGACATATGTATAAAGTAATATGACAAAAGTTGGCCGGAATTACACATAAATTTTTCAATATTATCTTTTTTATATAGAGAAATAATTTAAAATCAATAATTTTATTTTCCAATTTCTTTATTTTTTTTCTTGATTTTATACGTTTTATACTTATTTATAATGTAGGTATTACGCATGTGTGAACATAAAACCCAAAAAAGTCTTCTGCTATATTATTATATTAATCATGTGCTATAACTGCGTGTATATTTATTAATTTATTCTTCCCTCTTAGACAAAATAAACAAAAATGATTGAAGTGACTGATCAAAATTTTGAGGCATTATATCCTAAAATTGAAGAGACTTTAAAAAATGCCACATTTTTTTCAATTGACACTGAATTTAGCGGTGTAAAAACAGATTTCTTCGTAAAAGAGAGGTTAGTTTTGAGTTTTTAATTTATTTTCTTTTAAAAAATGTATTAAATTGTGTGTTTCAAATATTTTTCTTCTCCATTACAAAATTGAAATTTATAATTTATAAATTAACATAATTTATTTGTAAACAATTTTTTTTTTAAATAAAAATATTTTCTTTTTACTATCCAATCTGGGGAATTTCTCTTGAAGCATTTCAAATAGAGGCCTGCTTATTGTTATGATCAAAATCATCAAAAATCATCAAAATTCACAATGTAAATTAAAAGTTTGATTATTTTCATATATAAAAATAACATTTGGGAGAATAGTTATAAAAAAATATTTATAAGGAGTGGTAAAAAATAGTATCTGCTAATAGTTTTGTTTTCAACAAAATTAGCTGAGAACATTAGGTACAAGAAATTAAAAATCTCCGACAGAAAGTTCCTAGAGCACTGAATATAGTAATTTTCTGTTGGTAACACCGAAAGCAATGGATAGAATTCTAAACTTTAAGATATATAATTATTAATTATAAGTGATATAAGAAAATGTCAAAGTATGCAATTTTTAGGTACTGATTTTCTATTTCGACTATTAATTTCAAAAATAGTCAAATATAACCTATTAACTAAGCGCATAATAGGTATTTAGCCTAAAAATTGTTTCTTAAAATAATTTTTTTTAAATCTGGGTTACCACAGGTCTGAAAATTCAGGGAAAAATTTGAAAAGAACTTAGTTTTTTAAAATATTTTAATTTTTATTCTTTTGAAGTTAGTTGAATTTTTTAATTGAATAAAGCATCAATTATTCAAGAACAACAGTTATTATTTATTTATTCCCCGATTTTGTTCCATTAAAAAATACTATACAACAAATATATTATTATCGAACTGTAAAAATATTATATGAGCGATTAATTCGATGAAAAAATAATTTCGCCTTTTTTATTTCAGCAATAAAATAATTTTTAAAATTCTTTTTCAGCCTCTTTGATTCGCCAAATGAACGTTATGAAAAATTAAAGAATAACATTAAACCGTTTATTATTATTCAATTTGGTCTCACTGCATTTCGACATATTCGTGAACAAAATACATATAGTGCCGAGACATTTAGTTTTTATCTCTTACCTCGTTCAATTCCATCAAAAAATAGACATTTTGTCTGGCAAATTTCATCTCTGGAATTTTTATCCATTTATAACTTCGATTTCAATAAAGTAAGTTTGGTTTGTTATTCTTCAAATTATTTCAATAATATTGTTGCATTAAAATACTAAAATTTCTTGTAACAAAAGCAAGCTTTGCACTCATCTACAAACATTTTTTATACAATTCTTCACAATAGTTCAATTACTTTCACTAATAATAACAATAATTGTCAAGAATATTCAATTATTTTAAAAAAATTCTAATAAAATTGTAAGCAAGATTTAAATTATTTTCATAAGTTATAAAATGCTTTTTAAAAATTCAATTATTTACAACAATAAAAAATTATAAAATACCACACAGACATTCAATTATTGTCAAAAATTCTAATAGAATTCATTGTAAAATTTAATTATTTATAAAAACTTATCGAAATTCAATTATTTTCAATATCTAGTATTTTCATAAAATTTCGCAAAAAAATTCAATTATTTAAAAAAAAAGTGGATAAAATTCATCCAAAATTCAATTGTCTTCATAAATAATAAAATTTCCACTGGAATTCAATAAATTTAGAATAACATTTTTAAAAAAATTTCAAAAAAATCAAATATTTAACAACATTTTTATACAATTCTTCACAATAATTCAATTACTTTCACTAATAATAACAGTTTTTATGGAAATTCAATTATTTAAAAAATTTTTTTATAAAATTCTAGGCAAGAATTCAATTATTTTCATAAATAATAAAACTTATTGAAGAAATTCAATTATTTTTTATACTATTTTAAATTAATTAATAGAAAAATTCAATTATTTTTATAAATAAAATTTTTCACAAGAATTCAATTATTTAAAATAAAATGTTCACAATATTTATTATATTTCGAAAAAAATAATTATTTAAAACAATGTTTATAAAATTCTTATAAAGAATTCAATTATTTTTAAAAATATCAAAATTTTTCTTAATAATTTAATTATTTTCATAAATAATATAATTCTTCTCAGGAATTGAATTATTTTTGAAAATTTAATAAAATTCAAATATTTTCATAAATAATGAAATTCATCACAGGATTTCAATTATTTTTAATACAATTTTACAGGAATTGCTCGAGAAATGTATTTATTCTTAAAAATTTAATTTCAATTCCTCGAAAAAATTAATTATTTAAAAAAAAGTGTTTTTTTTAATTCTTTGCAAAATTCAATTATTTAAAAAAATTTTTAATAAAATTCTAAGTAAGTATTCAATTATTTTTATAAATAAAGAAACTCATCGAAGAATTTTAATTATTTTTAATACTATTTTTAATTAATTAACAGAAAAATTAATTTATTTTCACAACTAAAATTTTCCACAAGAATTTAATTATTTAAAATAATATTTTTATAATATTTATTATATTTCGAAGGAAATCAATTATTTTAAATATTATTGTAAAAAATTATTTTTATAATTCTTTGGAAAAATTTAATTATTTAAAAAAATAATAAAATTCTTCTCAGGAATTCAATTATTTTCAAATATTTTTATAAAATTCTTCGAAAGAAATCAATTATTTCAAATACAATTTAAATTAAATTTTTTTTTAAAGTAATTGAATTATTCTTCTAGATTTTATTTTAAATTCTTCCCAAGAATTCAATTATGTCGATAAATAACAAAATTATTCCGAAAATTAAATTATTTTGAGGCACTTTAATAAAATTCTTTGCAAAATTCAATTATTTTCATAAGTAACAATATTCATCACAAGAATTCAATTATTTTTAAAAATAATAAATTTCTTCTTGGTAATTCAATTATTTTTGAAAATTCTAATAAAATAGTTCGCAAGAATTCAATTATTTTCGTAAATAGTAAAATGCTTTTTAACGAATTCAATTATTTTAAAAAAAATTTAATAAAATACCACACAGACATTTAATTATTCTCAAAAAATTTAATAGAATTCTTTGTAAAATTTAATTATTGTTAAAAACTTTTTGCAATTTAATGATTTTCAATATTTACTATATTTTCTTAAAATTTCCAAACAGAATTCGATTATTTAAAAAAGTTTTTGTAAAAATCATTGTAATAATTGAATTCTTTTCATGAATAATAGGAATTTCTCAGGAATTTAATTATTTAAATTATAATTTGCATAAATTGAGTCAAGAGACAGCTTTAAAGATTTTTATAAAAATCTTCGCAAGATTTTAATTATTTTTCAAATATTTAAATTCGTTCATGAATAATAAAATACGTTGCAGGTAAATTTAATTTATTAGCAGGATAAGAAAGAAGTAATTATTTTTGATGAAAATTATTGAAAAAGTCAAGAAATTAAAATATAGAATGGAATTTTTGTCAGTTTTGTGAAGTGTCTAAAACTAGTTTTTTGGTCGTCAAGTTTAATTTTTTGATAGCTACTTTTTTTACTACTTTTTTTTAGTATAAAAGATACTTTTTTCTTTTTTAAAAATTAATTATCGAGTGCAAAGTCTGCAAAAATAGTAATCGTATTTTAAAAATTATAAATTTTAATTATATTTTTAAATATCATGATCAGTTTGCCTACGATGGGATATCATACTTAAATGAAGAGGATGAAGTCGATTTGCAAAATAATTTACAACAGGATATTTTAATGCAAAATTTAGAACGATTACTTTGCAATCGTGATGCAGATGATTTGAAAAATTCTCGCAATACAGTTGCTGATTGGTTAATTAAAAAGACTGAACCATTTGATGTATTGGAAATTATTTCTGAATCACCATTTTTACAGTATCTTATGCAAAAAGAATTTAGAAATCAATTTCAAGATATTTGGACGTATTCTGGAAAGAAGAAAGTAAATAATTTTTTTTTGTATAATTTATATAATTTTATGAAATAAATTAAGAATCGTGAATATTTAATGCATTGTTTTCTTTTTAGGTGAGTGTTATTAAAGTAACGAAAGAACAAAGAAAAGAATTTGAATTAAGGGAAAAAGGAGAACTTGAGGAGAAATTATTGAATTACTACATTGGTTTTTCTAAAGTTTTTAAACTTCTTGTTGATTTAAAAAAACCAATTGTGGGACACAACAGTTTAGTTGACTTGATGTATATGCATCAACAATTTTATAAACCCTTACCAAGTGAGTTTATTTGTTAAAGTAAAAATTATTTTGAAATCATTATTTATTATCAAAAAAAAAAAAAAAATTATATTTTATTATTTTTCTTTAGAGAAATACTCCACTTTCAAGAAGAATATTCATCAACTTTTTCCAACAGTATTCGATACAAAATATATCAGTTATGAGCTAAAGAAAGTTTTACCAAAGGAAGGTGTGTTGAACTATTACTAAAATATTTATTTACCTCATATAAGAATTACAATTTTTATATATTCTAATAAATTTTTTTCTCCTTTAGATAAATTCTCATCGAATGCGCTCAGCACTTTGTATTATTATTTTAAAAATGAGAAGGGAAGATTTCTCTCATTACACTCGCCGAATATAAGATCACAAACGTTTTTTAGAAATGGTAACACCTCTTGTTTTTAAATTAAAAATAAAAAATTTTAGTTATTAAAACATTCTTTCCAGATGAGGATAAATTTCATGACGCAGGATGGGATTCGTATTGCGCCGGATTTTGTTTCATAAAATTGTCACATGTATTTGCTGCAAATAAACGTGGAGAGTAAGAAAATTCATTAAATACTTTAGTGGAAAATTTTAAATAAAATTTTTTTTTTCATTATTCTATAAAATTTTTCTGCTTCGTTAAAGTAAATATAACATCATTCTTTTCTTTTCTATATTAGAGGCAGCCAATACAAACCGATGACTAATATTGAAATTTTAAATGGAGTAAAGTCATTTAGCAATTGTATAAATATTATTCGAGGAAATGTACCGTTTTTGGTAAGAAACTAATTGTTTTACATTTCTAAAAAGTTTGTAATTTAATTTAATTTTGAGAGCATAATTTGAGACTTCAACTTTAAATTTAATTTCAATTGCCTCATTTGCATAATCTATTATGAAAAAATTGTAGAATTTTGGAGGACCTGATCCAATTTCAAGGAGACCTCAATGGCTTGTTGTTCAATCACAAGGTTCAAAAACATTCTGCGTTTCTGAGGTATTTAAAAATACAGTCACTAGGAACAATGCATTTTAAAAATGGTTGTCTATTCCATTAAAGTCTTTATAATTATTGAAATCATTTAGATTGCAGAATTATTTTCATCGTATGGTAGCGTTGACGTGAAATCATTTAATTCACGCTATGCTCTAGTTGCTGTCTCCAATCATCGTAGGTTAGTAAACTTTATTTTTACATATTATTGCAATGTCTGTAAATGCGACTGTAAATATGTTCGTAATTAAAAATCTCAATACGACAGTATTTTAGTTACAGCACTTATAACCATAATTATAGTTGTAATTACGTTTGCCGCATATTTCTGCATTTTTAAAATCTATTCGAAACTTTTAGTTTGGGTTACATTGAAATTATCATGGTCTGGTTTTTTCCGACAAATTCTAAATTCATATTCAAATAATCTTTCGACTGAACCAGATAATTTTCAAAACATTAATCCCTGACATCTTTAAAGCTACAAAAAGTATGATAAAAAATAAAGCACATGATTTTGATAGTCACTTCTGTTAGCATTGTGGAAAAAGTGGTTACTTTTATTTAAAAACACTTAAAAATTGCAATAAAATTTTCTATCCTTCAGGATGTTGTTCAGTAATATCCTAACAACAATCTAGGTTGTTAGCAGTTGACAAAAAATAATTAAATTGAATTGAATTAAAATTAAACGTCTTTTAATGACAATTATCATCATCCGCTAGTGTTCGGCTGTGGTTACTTTTATTTAAAAGCACTTAAAAATTGCAATTAAATTTTCTATCCTTCAGAATGTTGTTCATCAACATTCCAGCTACCACCTAGGTTGTTTGCAGTCCACAAAAAATAATATAATTGAATGGAATTAAATTTAAACGTCTTTTTATGACATTTATGATATTCTGCGTGTTCGGCTGTGGTTACTTTTATTTAAAAGCTCTTGAAAATTGCAATTAAATTTTCTATTCTTTAGGATGTTGTTCAGCAACATCTTAGCTACCAACTAGGATGTTAGCAGTCCATAAAAATAATAAAATTAAAAAGAATTTAATCTTATCGTGTTTTTATGACAATTATGATCTTCTGCTGGTTTCCGGCTGTGGTTACTTTTATTATAAAACTCTTAAAAATTACAATTAAATTTTCTATCCTTCAAGATGTTGTTCAGCAACATTCCAGCTACCACCTAGGTTGTGATCAGTCTATAAAAAATAATTAAATTGAATTTAATTAAATTAAAACGTCTTTTTATGACATTTATGAGGCTGGTTTCCGGCTGTGGTTACTTTTATTTAAAAGCTCTTAAAAATTACAATAAAAATTTTCTATTCTTCGGGATGTTGTTCAGCAGCATCCTATTAAAAATCTATGTTGTTAACAGTTCATAAAAAATAATAGAATTGAGTTAGATTCTCGAGCGTTGATTATGAATCTGAAGTCAGATTTTTAAAATTCAAAATGGCGGATCCAATACGGCGGACAAATTTAAAGAAACCAGAAGGATTTTTATGAAGCTTAATATTTAGAGTGTTTTAAGGTCGCTTAGTACGCATCTGCAGTCAAATTTTCAAATTTTTAAATGTCGGTTATCAATATGTCGAACAAATTTTAAGAAAATAGTTGGATTTTTATGTAACTTAGTATCTACGAGGTTAATTTTTTAAAATTTGAAATCTCAAAATAAATATGAATAGTCAAAACAGTCTATTTATAGTCGAATTTTTATGGTTATTATTTTCAAAAGATTATTTACCTTACAGATCTATCGTATTAATTTTAAATCTATATATAAATAAATTCCAAATGAAATAAGTGATCAACATTAATACGAAAATAGATCCATTTTATAACATTTCGTGAGCATGTCAACTTGAATAAACATTATTCGTTGCTGTAACTTGTCAAAATGACATCAACCTGTTTTTCTTCCAAGAAGAAAGGTCCTTCCCCTTAGTTCAATAGAATTTTATGGGTTAACATAATAAAATTGACCTAAAGTCAATAATAAGAAATTTCATTTTTAATTTTATTATATACATACTGTTTTGCTTTCACGCGTTATTTTTGCCTTCTGTTAAATCTACAAATTCAAATGTTTTTTTTTTGTTCATTTCACTAAATTCTATAATTTACAAAATAGTATAAATGTTTTAATACGCAGTTTGTATTTAAAAGTATATAATCTTCTGCAAAGCAAAGAAAACAATTTTGGATGACTTTCAAGAGCAACTCGTGTTTATTTATCGTTTGTATATTGTATTTTACCAAATTATAACATTAATGTGTCAATTATTAATATTAAGAACATTGTAATTGTTTTTCTTCTAAACTTTAAAGTATATTTTCATATTCTTTGTTTTTTCTTCTAGTGCTCGTGATATTTTGCAACACTTTCAAACACATACGGAAATTCAAATTAAACCTTACAATTCATTTCGACATTCCACTAAAGTGAAAATTTTCTATTGGTATGTTCATCTATTATATAACAATTATTATTTAATGTAATAATTATTTTCATTTGAAAATACTTTTTGCAGGTCCAGTTTAATTATTTCTGGATGTATCATCACAATGTGGTTGCAGCGAAGATTTTAATTCGAAAAATTAATTTAGAAGGTAATTCGAAATTTTTCTATATATATTAGTGTCAAAATTTGTGAAGTGAGCCATCATTTTCCGATGGGCGAGTAACATTTTTCTACTCTATATATGAGCAATTCCACGGTAAGTGATCTGAAGAATTTTGGATGATTTTAGCAATATTAATAATACTTTCTGAATTTGTTCCTTTATATGCATAGAATAAAAATGTACAAAAGTTTTTTCAAAATTTTCAAAATTTTTTGAGTTACCTCTTACTCAAAATTTTGGTCGGTTTTTCAAAAAAGGCATATAACTTTTTTGTTTGTTAACCGATTAAGACAATTTTTTTTGGAAAATACTCATAATAAGAAGCACTTTAAAGAAAAAAATAATAAAAAAAAAAAAAAAAATTTTTTGCCCGAAAAAAATTTTAAAAAATTTTTTGAATTCAAATTTTGAAAAAAATACCTCTTCGATTTGCAAAATTTTTTTTTGTAGTTATTGTGTATAAAGTAAAGAATGCTCCCTATAAATTTAATTATGGGACAACAATAACTTTTCGAGAAAAAAAATAAAATGTCCAGCGCGGCGTGTTTGGACTTTTGCAGTTTTCGAGTATGGCGGAGGTTTTGTGATCAGTGTCTATTAAAGAAATTATGATTTTATGATTTTTAACCGTCGTGATTCTGTAGTTGAGTTGGAAAATTGTTTTACTGAAATCTCAGTTGTAGAAATTGGAATAAAAGCATGCAGTTTTTGTGTACCGGGAATAGTAACCGATTTTTCAAATCTTGCTTTTAGAATACGTTCTTCTTCTAAATATTCTGCATGTGTACAAAATGCAACATTAATTTTTTCCAAGCTCTGAGCGAACGTAAATAAGTCTCTCGCATTTATAATTTGATTTTCAAATGGTCTTTGCAAACTAGCATGGGCAGCAGCTCTCTTGAGTGTACCTCCGACTCCATCGCAAGGACCTTTTCCATGCGATGTTGCAAAGAAATGCCACTCAGCGTCACATCCAAAATCTGTGTTGTGATGTGTTAAGTTTACAAAATTTTTTCGGTTTTTGTATTGAGCTGCTGATCCATCGGAGAAATAGACAATCTTTTTTAATTGCGTATTGATATTTACTCTTAAAAAATTAATTAATTTTCTCTGAAATAAATGGACAGTAATAGTATTGTGTTCTAAAATTTCAGAAATTACGACAAAACTAATGTGCTGCAATTCTTTTTCATTATTCATGTAATATGCTACAAATGGATGAACAGTAGCTTGATTGTTCGTCCAATGATAACTCTGAGTAGAATCTTGGACTACGAAAGAATAATTTTCAGCAAAGTCGCAAATTACTAATAATTCGCCATCACTTAAATTAGATTTGGCGTCATCAAGAAATTTATTCTGCTCTTTCGCAATGAAACTGTGCAAAATCAGTTTTTTTTGTTCTTGGGCTAAATAGTCAACAAACTCTTCAGTGGATTTTATAATGGTTTCGAGATTAGAGCGATCTACTTGAATCCATTGTTTAAAGGTGACATTTTCAATATTATTTTTCGAATAAGCTGACAATAAATCGGCTTTTAATTTTTCATCTCCTGGACATGAAGAACAAGTTTGAAGGTAGCATTCTACTTGTGCTGGGTTGCAAATTGATTGTGCTATCCAGTGTTGGTACGTGGGAAATTCAAGATCACCGCTAAGGGCTAATTCATTAATTTTCCCACCCATAAACATTAATTTTACATTTTGATGAAGAGTGCAGACGCAAACAGTATGCGTTCCACTCCCTCCTGTTAATATGCACTCCTTCGGTCTTAATTCAGCGAATTTTGAAAATCCTATTGGTTGTTCAGGATGAGATGCTTTAAACAATTTATGTAATTCCTTAAGATTACACATCATTAATCGCTTTTGTTCCTTAATTTTTTTTCCATTATGATCCTTAACTGTAACATAATCTCTCTTACCTGGCATAATACGACTGTTGTCATCTTTTTTATAAAACTTTTGGACTAAAGTTTTTGTTTCTACAGGAAGCTGTTTTCTTGATACAGGTTTTTGAGTAGCTAAAAAATCATTTGCAGAGATTAAATTTTTGGCATTTCTTGACATCCGATTTGAACACTCAAATGTTTCTTCAATTCTTTGAATTGTCCAAGTTTTTGGTAAAATTGTTAAAATTTTTAATTGAAGACACTTATCTGCTTCAGATTCTTTAAATTTTTCTTTTAGATGTTTTACAATGTCGTCATTTTCCTTATTAATGGATTCATCAAGATCAAAAAATTTTTTTTCTAAAACATAAGTAATCTTTTTTATTAACTCTTTTTTTTCAGATACCGTGTAGGTATTTTTAGATTCGATTTGAGGTTCATTTAAAATCATTAAAAATTGATTTAAATAGGAAAATGCTGCCTCTTTATCCACTGCAGGAAACTGTACCATTTCGACATCCAGATTTTCTGGGATTAAAACATTTTGAATATCATCCATTTCAGCATCGCTATGATCATCATTATTATCATAATTTTTAGCATCTATTTTTTGCATTTGATTATTAACATTTTTTGCTGTTAATAAAGAGGGAGATTTTCGAGATAAAGATTTTCTGCAATTTTCACAAAGATATTGCTCACGTGAAAGACTTCCAAATTTTTTTGCAAGATCTTTTGAAACTTGTCGAAGATTTTTTTTATATCTCTCATGCTTAGGCTTATTCAACGGGTTACAGCAGAATCTAGTAAACGGCATTTTAGAATATTTTTTTAAAGATGAAGAGAAAGAATTTAAGAATCTTACAAAATATTCGGAAAAAAGGTCAAAAGTAATATTAATAAACCAAAAAATAATAAAATAATAGACAAAATTATAAGTAAATTATTTAAAACTTTCGAATTAAATATTTAAATTCGATTGACAAATCAAATAAAAACAATAAGACACGCAAATTCACAAAGGAAAATTTCAAAAAGTACCACTTACCTTCAAAGAATACGAAATATTCGTAAAAAGACTGTAGTCATTTCCTCACGTATTTATAGAGTTCGAAACGCAAGTCATTAGCGAGCAAGATTATCCGCAGTTAAGACAGTGACATCTTACAACTCCGAAGGGAACTATTATGTAAATCGCGCGAATTTTTGAACACCACACAGTGGCGAAAAATGTACTTTTTCGTTTCAAATCTCTCTACAGGTTACAATTTTTTACCAAAACGATTTTTCTTTTCCTTTAAATCTTCGTACTTAAATTCTCTATCGATCTCTTGAGCCCAATTTTTGAATTTTTGTTTTTAAACATTTTTTTATTAACAATAAGTATTAAAAAAATTGTAAAATATATCTTTTTTAGCAACATTAATTCAGAAAATTAATCAAAAAATCTATTAAAATAATGTTTGAGTGTTTTTGATGTTTGAAAAAAGTATTACAATTTATTAAATTGTTTAAACAAATAATTGTTGTTATTTTTTTCATAGACTGTTCTTAGGGCTAGAAATTTCTAGTTTATTCTGTATTGTGCATTTTTTTGTTACTAAAACATTTAAGTATAAAAGAAAATTAAAAATTAGGTATTTAAACATTGTTTAAACAAATTATTTTGTTAATTTTTCAATTTACAGTACTTAAAACTAGAAATTCATAGTTTTTTTCTCAATTTTGCAATTTTTTAAAACTTGAACACTTAAGTATAATACAAAAATTAAAAATGTATTATTTAACCATTCTTAAACAATTTATGTTTTTAATTTTTTAATCGATTGTATTTAGAAAAAACTAGAAATTTCTAGCTTAAGTACAGTTTATGAAAAAAATAACAACAATTAATTGTTTAAACAATTTAATAAATTGTAGTACTCTTTTCATACATCAGAATTACTCTTGGAATTACTCAAACATTATTATAATAGATTTATTGATTAATTTTCTTAATCAATGAAACTAAAAAATATATATTTTATGATTTTTTAATACTTATTGTTATTAAAAAAATGTTTAAAGAAAACATTCAAAAATCGGACTCGAAAGATCGATAAAGAATTTAACTAAGAAGATTTAAAGGAAAAGAAAAATCGTTTTGGTAAAAAATTGTGACCTGTAGAGTGATTTGAAATGAAACTTGTACCTGTCATTGATCCCAAGACCGCCGCCATACTCGAAAACTGCAAAAGTCCAAACACGCCGCGCTGGACATTTTATTTTTTTTCTCGAAAAGTTATTGTTGTCCCATAATTAAATTTATAGGGAGCATTCTTTACTTTATACACAATAACTACAAAAAAAAATTTTGCAAATCGAAAAGGTATTTTTTTCAAAATTTGAATTCAAAAAATTTTTTTAAATTTTTTTCGGGCAAAAAAATTTTTTTTTTTTTTTTATTATTTTTTTCTTTAAAGTGCTTCTTATTATGAGTATTTTCCAAAAAAGATTGTCTTAATCGGTTAACAAACAAAAAAGTTATATGCCTTTTTTGAAAAACCGACCAAAATTTTGAGTAAGAGGTAACTCAAAAAATTTTGAAAATTTTGAAAAAACTTTTGTACATTTTTATTCTATGCATATAAAGGAACAAATTCAGAAAGTATTATTAATATTGCTAAAATCATCCAAAATTCTTCAGATCACTTACCGTGGAATTGCTCATATGATAAAGAAAAAATACAATTTTAGAAAAATGTTAAAACCATAACAAATACTCGCCCATCGAAAAATGATGGTTCACTTCGCAAATTTTGACACTATATTCAAGTAGAATTTTTAATAATAATAATAATAATAATAATAAAAATACTTAAAAATCAGTTTCATTATGTCCCTGAGATATAATTAATCATAGGTATTTTTTTTGTGTGCTTCGTTTTTATTTTTCTGACGTAGGTTGCTCTCGGACAAAAACTGTCAACATCTTGACAAGTTCTCTAAATAATACGTGGCGAAATGCTTAAACGAATTCTTTCGAATGTCTTTTCTTTCTGTTCCCTCCGGAAGTACCTGACACAGTAAAAATGTTTTTTTGTCAGATTATATCTGTTAATAGTCTCTTGAAAAATCAAAATACCTCATTTTTTCTTTTTTATTCAAACTAATTCTTCCAGAAGAGGAAAATTCTTTAAGTAGATTTTATAACAAAATCTTTATTTTCTAGTGGAAAAAATTATTTTTTTTTTAAATTTTAATTGCAGAATTAGAAGAACTGCAGAAAATGAAAGATGTCGCCACTGCTGTCACAAGTCGTTTAAGATGTAATTTTATGTTGTTTGAGAGAGATATGAGAAAATTCAAAGACGCAAAGGAGCCGAAATTTTGTGAGCGTTCTCCAATATTTCAAAAGTTTTCTCTGGCCAAGACCCAAGGCCAAAATACTCAAAAATAACGCAGCAGAGCAAGTTCGTGTGGGCGAATGGATAACCGTTCTATCGGTCAGATTGATCGCTAAGGCAGGTGGGGTACTCAAGGCTCAATCTGTCGCAGCGTATCATTTCTTCAACAAAGTGCAGAGGTCACGTGTGAATACATATTCGCGAAAACTTTTTATATTCTATTTTTCAGAAAAAGAAAAAAAAAATTAAAACTTAATTTTTGAATTATTTTGTCTATTTGTAAAAATTTCATTTTTGTATATTTTTATACATTGTTTAAGGAAATAAAAATTTTTGTCAATTATATGCTCATATTGCTATGTTACTTTTTTCAATTGTTTCTGAAAAATTCAATAGTTCGAAGGGTTTTTTCGTGAAACTAAAAAATAAAAACGAAGAATTTGAAAATGAATAGAAAAATTGGGAGATTAGGAAAATTTTTTTTCTCTTCTCTCACTCATCAAATATAATTGCCATCTCATTTTACCATCTACATCGAAAAGCACTGTTGAATTATTTTTGTCCATAAGCTAAATGTGCAAAAATAGACTAGCCTAGTCCCTGGCCTAGAGTGTAGGCTTGACCTGCCACTATATCAACAAAAATATTTCAAGGATTTTCAACAACAAAAAACAAAAAGAGTGAGAAATAATTCCATCAATTAAATATTGTCGAAAGTGATTAGATCCTTGAATAACGTGTTTCTAGATTCAAAGTAGTTTTTCAAGTTCATTCAACCGCTTTATTCTCGTACGTCTTGTTTATTTCCAAATTGACTCAACAGTTTGTTTAAAGAACTCGAAGAGGAGTTCAATCAAAAAAAAAAAAAAGAAAATCATCCATTTTCTTTATCATTGCCAGGAAGAATATTTCTTTATTAGATTTCGCTATTGAAAAATTTAACTTTGACGAACACAATAAGACTGATAAAAAATTCCATTCTGTATTTTATTTTCCATCGACTATTTCCTAATTTTCATCAAAAATATTTACTTCTTTCTAATCCTGATGCTAATAAATTAAATTTACCTGCAACGTATTTTATTATTCATGAAAAAATTAAAATATTCATAAAAATAATTTAATTCTCGTAAAGAATTTTATAAAAATTTTTAAATATATTTTTTGTTTCAATGAAAACAGAAAATATGTTTGAATTGAATATAATTATTCGAAAAAACAATATTTTTGAATCAAAGCAGTAGATATTTTCTACAAATAATTGATATTAAGCTTACAAACTAATTTCAATTAAATAAAATCACTTAAAATTATTTTTCTACTTAAATTAAGTATTTAATGTTTTCTCAAATGGAATTTAAATAATTGAATTCCTGAGAAATTTCTATTATTCATGAAAAGAATTAAAATTCGATTACGAAAATTTTGACAAAAATTTTGTTTAAATAATTGAATTCTGTTTGGAAATTTTATGAAAATATAGTAAATATTGAAAATCATTGAATTTCGAAAATTTTTTAAAAACAATTTCATTTTACAAAGAATACTATATTAAAATTTTTGACAATAATTGAATATCTGTGTGCTATTTTATAAATTTTTTTTTTCAATAATTCAATTTCTAAAAAGCATTTTATTACCTATTTATGAAAATAATTGAATTCTTGTTAACAATTTTATTAGAATTTTCAAAAATAATTAAATTTCCAAGAAGAAACTTATTACTTTTAAAAATAATTGAATTCTTGTGATGAATATTGTTATTTATGAAAATAATTAAATTTTTACTTAGAATTTTATTAATTTAAAATTTTTTTTAAATAATTGAATTTCCATGAAAAATGTTATTATTAGTTCAAGTAATAATTGAACTATTGTGAAGAATTGTATAAAAATTTTGTTAAATAATTGATTTTTTCGAAATTTTTTTTAAAAATGCTATTCTAAATTAATTGAATTCCTGCCCAAATTTTATTATTTATGAAAATAATTTAATTTTGGATAAATTTTATCAATTTGTTATTTAAATAATTGAATTCTTTTGTGAAATTTTATGAAAATAGGTACTAGATATTGAAAATAATTGAATTTCGAAAAGTTTTTGCAAATAGTTAAATATACAAAGAATTCTATTAGAATTTTTGTCAATAATTGAAAGTCTGTGTAGTATTTTATAAATTTTTTTTAAAATAATTGAATTCTTAAAAAGCATTTTATTATATTTATGAAAATAATTGAAATCTTGCGAACAATTTTATTAGAATTTTTTAAAATAATTGAATTTCCAGGAATAAATTTATTATTTTTAAAAATAATTAAATTCTTGTGATGAATATTGTTATTTATGAGAAAATAATTAAATTTTACAAGAATTTTATTAAAATGCCTCAAAATAATTGAATTTTTGGGAATAATTTTTTCATTTATAGACATAATTGAATTCTTGGGAAGAATTTAAAATAAAATTTAGAAGAATAATTTAATTACTTCAAATAAATTTAATTAAAATTGCATTTAAGATAATTGATTTCTTTCGAACAATTTTCTTAAAATATTTACAAAATAATTGAATTCCTGTGAAAAATTAGAATATTTTTTGTAAAAAATTGAATTCTTCCAAAGAATTAAAAAAAAACATTTTTTGAAATAATTGATTTTTTTGAGGAATTGAATTGAAATTTTTAAGAATAAATTTACACATATCGTGCAATTCCTGTAAAATTGTATTAAAAATAATTGAAATCCTGTGATGAATTTTATTATTTTTGAAAATAATTGAATTATTGCGTCAAAATTTGATTAAAATGTTTAAAAAGAATTGAAATTCATTGACAAATTTTGTTATAATTGAAAATAATTGAATTCTTCATAAGAATTTTATAAACATTGTTTTATATAATTATTTTTTTTATAAATATAATGAATATAATGAAAGTTTTATTTTAAAATTTAAATAAATGAATTCTTCTGGAAAATTTTATTTTTGAAAATAATTGAATTTTTATATTAATTCATTTAAAATAATATTTAATATAATTGAAATTCTTTGATAAGTTTTATTATTTATGAAAATAATTAAATTTTTGCTTAGAATTTTATTAAAAAAGTTTGTTAAATAATTGAGTTTCCGCATGAAAAATGTTATTTTTAGTTAAAGTAATTGAAATATTGTGAAGAATTGTATACAAATTTTGTTAAATAATTGATTTTTTTGGAAAATGCTATTCTAAATAAATTGAATTCTTATGGAAATTTTATCATTTATGAAAATAATTGAAGTTTAGATGAATTGTATCTATTTTTTTCAAAAATAATTGAATTTTTTTTGCGAATTAAATTTGAACCCAAAATTAAGAAAATGTTAGTTATTGAAAATAATTGAATAATTTTGAATATTTTTTTGAAAATAAGTGAATCATTTTAAAGAATTTGATTATAATTTTTGAGAATTGTTTTTTGATTTCTAGTATTAGCGAATTTAAAGTAGTGGAAATTCTACAAAAAAATAGAAATAGTAGTTTTTAGTGGCTGAAATCTAAAAAAAGTACCCAAATAGTAGCATAACGTAAAAAAAAGTAGTAAATAGTAGGTTTTAGTAGATGATTCTTTTTTTTCTCTAATTCTTGATACCTAGTGGGGAAGAGAAAAAGACGAAGCGCAATACGAGTTTCAAAAAACATCTCTGATTTATGACGAACTGAAACATTTGTCAATTTTAGTGCGAGTTCATCTTCTTTGGTAGACGTGAAGATTTCAGCTCTTCGGTTTTCTTCACTTTTGACATTGACATCCAAGAAAAATTTGAAAACAATTTTTTTTTCTTCTCTTTCAATATACAAAAATTAATATATTTTTATTTCTATAATAACGTTTCCTTTGATGACACACGAGTACATATGACGTGTTTGTCTAAATTTTCAGCAATCTCACCACGTGTGCGTGATTTCCGCATATACATACGTATTAACACGTGTGTGCGCACCATCTGCTCTCGTCTGCAATTCTTAAAAATTTATTATTTTTTACCACCACACTACTCAATGGAAAGAAATTTTCCATTCTCTCCAAAGTGAAAAGTATTCATTTTATGAAGTTAAAAAAGACGAAAATAATGATTTATTGTTAGTTTTAAGAGAATAGAAGAGGGACTGACATAAATATCGAGGACATCGTTTCGGTGCTCAGCAGAAAATGCTACAATATCTCTATTTCTGTCCATTTCGGTCTCCCTTGGCACGAGCCATTTACAATCTAAACCGAAGAAAAAAAAATCACTTTATTGAAACATCGATCACTATATGGGTAATTAATTATTTTTCTTTTCTTCTTCTATTTCTTCAATTAAAATAAGTAAGAGGGAAAATTTTTTTTTAGCAACTATATCATAATGCATAATGGAAATGAGTATATAAAAATTTGAAAAATAAAATGAAAAATTAAGTTGAATTTCTATTATACACTTGTAAAATATCAAACTAAATATGACCTCGTACTATCCTTGTGACTATTTTCGAGTTACACGTTTCGACATGATAGATGAGAATTTTCTGCGTTTCCACAACGACCGAGCGTCGTCCGCTTTGGTATCTGCCAAAGTTTTCTCGTCGCGTCGTTTGAATGCATCGAATAATTTATTATTAAGATTCGCGTAACAATACATGCGAGCAACTATACATTAATTTTAACCAAAAAAAAAGAAATTAAATTAAATGAACTATTTTCAAATATTCCCGCGCATGCTTTAATTCTGATAAGCTCCTAGTTGGCGCGCGCACTCTCTCTCTCTCTTTTTCTCACACATAACCCTAAAAAAATACATTCTTTTCTTCACCTTTTTTTTGGGGGTAAAAATTTTCATTTGGCATAAATTTTCCCTTAAATTGAGAAGATTGAGAAGTGAAAATGTCCTCGACACGTGGTGCCGACTAGACTCACTCTGTGAATTACCGGATTGGAATGATTCCGAGACGCGCTATACGAGATCCTGGATGAGTAACATTGAGCTGAATATAAATAGGACGGCCAGGTAATTTGTATATCTTGATTATCTACAAGAACTGTGGTAATTCACGAGAGGGAGCAATGGAAAATCGTTGCTTGGTCTTAAGCAAAATGATGTAGTGACCTCACTAAAAATACGTGGATCCAATCAACGGCCAAGTGGACCGCAGTGAAGTAACCGTGTCTCAACCACCCAAATATAGTCCGACATCTGCGAATCTATAGTAATAAAT